ATCAACGCGAGCTTATGACTCGCGCTTACTGGGAATTCCTCGTTCATGGGGAATAATTGCAAGCCCCAATCCCTAGCACGAAGGAGGTTCAGCGGGTTACCCGGGCCTTTCGGCCAGGGAAGACACGTTGATTCCTTCAGTGTAGCGCGCGTGCGGCCCAGAACATCTAAGGGCATCACAGACCTGTTATTGCTCAATCTCGTGCGACTAGAAGCCGCCTGTCCCTCTAAGAAGAGTTTTAGTACGTCGGTAGTAAAAATCTACAATCCGAAAACTGTAGACCTTCAAGATACCAGAAATACGTCTATTTAGCAGGCTAGAGTCTCGTTCGTTATCGGAATTAACCAGACAAATCGCTCCACCAACTAAGAACGGCCATGCACCACCACCCACCGAATCAAGAAAGAGCTATCAATCTGTCAATCCTTCCGGTGTCCGGGCCTGGTGAGGTTTCCCGTGTTGAGTCAAATTAAGCCGCAGGCTCCACTCCTGGTGGTGCCCTTCCGTCAATTCCTTTAAGTTTCAGCTTTGCAACCATACTTCCCCCGGAACCCAAAAGCTTTGGTTTCCCGGAAGCTGCCCGCCGAGTCATCGGAGGAACTTCGGCGGATCGCTAGCTGGCATCGTTTATGGTTAGAACTAGGGCGGTATCTGATCGCCTTCGAACCTCTAACTTTCGTTCTTGATTAATGAAAACATTTTTGGCAAATGCTTTCGCTTCTGTTCGTCTTGCGACGATCCAAGAATTTCACCTCTAACGTCGCAATACGAATGCCCCCATCTGTCCCTATTAATCATTATCTCGGAATTCCGAAAACCAACAAAATAGAACCGAGATCCTATTCTATTATTCCATGCACACAGTATTCAGGCGATAATAAGCCTGCTTTGAGCACTCTAATTTGTTCAAAGTAAACGTACCGGCCCATCTCGACACTCAATTAAGAGCACCGCGACAGGATTATTGGACCGCTTTAGTTTTTACACTAAAGCTAAATCCACCGGTAGGACGTCCCACAAGCATGCCAGTTTACACCGCGAGCGGTGAACCGACAGTGTGGCACACAGATTCAACTACGAGCTTTTTAACCGCAACAACTTTAATATACGCTATTGGAGCTGGAATTACCGCGGCTGCTGGCACCAGACTTGCCCTCCAATTGTTCCTCGTTAAAGGATTTAAAGTGTACTCATTCCGATTACGAGGCCTCGGATGAGTCCCGTATCGTTATTTTTCGTCACTACCTCCCCGTGCCGGGAGTGGGTAATTTGCGCGCCTGCTGCCTTCCTTGGATGTGGTAGCCGTTTCTCAGGCTCCCTCTCCGGAATCGAACCCTGATTCCCCGTTACCCGTTACAACCATGGTAGGCGCAGAACCTACCATCGACAGTTGATAAGGCAGACATTTGAAAGATTTGTCGTCGGTACGAGACCATACGATCAGCTAAAAGTTATTCAGAGTCACCAAAGTAAACGATGGCCGAGACCACCGATTGGTTTTGATCTAATAAAAGCGTTCCTTCCATCTCTGGTTGGAACTCTAGTTTGCATGTATTAGCTCTAGAATTACCACAGTTATCCAAGTAAATGTGGGTACAATCTAAGGAACCATAACTGATTTAATGAGCCATTCGCGGTTTCACCGTAATTCGGTATGTACTTAAACATGCATGGCTTAATCTTTGAGACAAGCATATCACTACTGGCAGGATCAACCAGGGAACTTTGTAATGTGTTTATACACACACATCCGTTCTCAAAAATATGCGTTATATAGTAAAACAAATATATTATATTGAAGCCTTACTATGTAACACATATTTTGTGTTGTAGGTGAAAACTGGTGTTTCCATCAACACTTTTATACTTAAGAAATTAAAACATTCATTGATATGAATGTATAACTGAAAAGTTCAAACACTCTCTTTTTCTAAATTTATTAAAGATTTACTCTCGCTAGCTATTACTGTTAGCGACTTGGTTATATTTCGTATACGTAGTAAAAAAATTTTTACTATTCGTACTAGGGCTGAAGTGAGTATAACATTTCTGTTGTTTTTAGTTATATGCAACTGAGAGTATACATATAACAATTATGAACGCCTTCCGACGATTCACCACATAAGAGTCATTCAGTCTACGACATCGACTCGTGGCTATGTTGCGTTAGTATATATTGTTATGCTCAACTATTATATTTCGTACGACATTCAACTGCTCAGACGTTCAACTGTTTGCGATTTTCATCTGTTTGTAGTTTTCAGATGTTTTTGCTTTTCAACTGTTTTAACTCGACTATTTTCATGTTAGTAACGTGCAGCGTAAGAGAGCTGATCGCAGCACGACGACCGACTACTCCCCTCCACTCCGCACTCGAGAAAGCGTCACTGTATTAACTACGCAGCAATATAGTTAGAAGAAAACCTTACTACTACGTTATATTCATAATATATATACTTATCTTTATGGCAATTTTGTTAAACAAATTATGAATAGTAATACAAAACAAAAAAAAACATTTATTTACTCGAACTATTAAATTCCCATGACTTCGTCTAAGTATCTAAATCTAAAAATCAACAGTATTGAAAATGAATTATTTCCTTCGGTTTTTATTAACTTCGTTTCAAGATATTTGCAAGCATACTGACATATTTTTAGAATGATGTGTGTATACGTATGTATGTATGTATGTATGTACGGATGTCAGCATTTTTTTCGTTTTCGATATCTTAAGAACGGATCAACATATCAACTTGAACCAAAATTTATTCGAAAGATATTATTATAAAGAAGACCTGAAAGAAATTTGAACGAATTCGATCGAGCCGTTTTTTTTATAACAAAATAACTAAGAAAAAGATTCAGGCAGTCGTGGGACTGCCGATAGAAGTAAAAACAGAACTATTAAGTTAAGACTAATTGAAACTATATGCAAAAATTATATGAAATTTTTTATGTTTTATTTATTAGTTACATCTGATGGGTTAAACAAATCATGGACAAAATATAAATACAAACTGGTTGAAATAATAATTAATATACAATTATCTTAGTTATACATAATATTTATATTTACACGAATTTCAATGAATTCAAGTTTGAACATTATTTTCATTATTTACATCATTGTCATCATTAATTTCGACAATACTTAGATTATCTGTTCGTTCAATCATTTCATTGTATTCTAAAAAAGATACAATAGATTTATGGTGACTGAAATAAGAAATAAAAATGTTGATGGGCCTGCAATTTGTGAGTTATGAAAATTTAGGTCGTTATACCTATCCAAGAAACGTCCAACGCGCACATAATACAGTCAGAAATAGTTGATGTATTAGTGTATACGTGTACACAGGCTACTGCGCGTGCGCTAGTCTGGCTCTCCATAGCTATAGATATTCTATTATCATTAGCATGTCGGTGACGCGAACCGAGGATTTTACCTAAAATTTCATATTATTTTTGCATATAATTTCAATTAGTCTTAACTTAATAGTTCCGTTTTCACTTCTATTGGCAGTCCCACGACTGCCTGAATTTTTTTTTTTTATATTTTTCATTAACTCATACATTACTTGCAGATTTGAACTCCAACAAAACGAAAAAATCCATTCAAATATGTGTATAAAGTTTTGTATTCTTGGATTTTATATACATATATGTATGTATGAACACTATTTTAACTTTATGCAAAAATTGAAAAATATTCTATAAATTTGATCTAATCAAAAACAGCCCTCTCCAAAAATGTGCGCCAAACATAAATAACGACAATGATGAAATTACAAAAAGTCCTAAAATCATTAAACGTTAATTATTTGAATCTACAAATCAACAATATTTCAAAAGAATTATTTTCTTTGGTTTTTTTTTTTGAAAAAAAATTTAGTACGTTTAATGACGCCATAAACATAACAACCAAAAACTTGGCGTAACTGTTATTTATTAATTGGCTTAAATATTTTCAACATTTTCACAATTTCATGCTTTTATAAAACCAGTCACGCCAAGTATGACCCAGAACAAGTATGAGATAATAGTAAATTTTATTTTGATGTTCTTTAGATTGCTTTTTTGCAGTAGAAGCTCACTGATATGAACGTGCAAAAAAACATTATTTCGGATTTTAGAAATTTTGTTGTGTCTCGAAATAACAGAATATTGTTTATTATACATTAAAAAATAATTTGCAATTATTGCGAATCCGAACTAAGTATAAGATAATTGTTAAGTTTGTTCTAGACTTTTTTTAATAACACGTTTACTGCGTCTACACACCACTATGAGCATGACAATAATTATTTTTTTGTCGAAAAAAATTAATTTATGCTTTGAAAAAGAAATAAATTGTTGATGATGTATTTAAAAAGAATTTTTTTCTTTCCCTGTTTACTTGTAACATATTAAACTACTCACGTTCAAGTTTATTAATGTCTTTCGAACAATAAACATCATTACTCATGTCAAATTTGAATAGCGAGAGAAAGATTTAATTGTTACTCTTCTAAAATGCCTCATTTTCATTATAAATATTTCATTTACTTTTGTCTATTTAAATATAAAAACATTAATATCCATCTTTACAAATTCAATAACTTTGAAAAAAAATTCTATATTACCGACTAAAAATTTTACTCCTATGGTAAATAGATTGCCTACAGCTACTGTAGTCCATTTCCACCCTTAGTCGATAATTAGAACTGTGAAGATTAATAAACTAAATAAACTTAATAACTAACTTAATAACTAAATAAACTTAATAAAATAAACGAGTTTTCAAATATCATGAAAGCAAGCTCAGTTTTGCTTTCGCTGTAGTTTAAACTTTAATTAAATTACCAAGGGATTACGGTTTACGAATTAAAGCCTAGGTCTATTTGATATTGTCTATTTTTAAATTTATTGTATTCGTTGAAAAATAGATTATATTTTTATTTTGTATACTGGTTTATATTTCAGTTTATATCAAAATGAACGTGACAATAATAGATTACTCAAGATTGAGCTGTCAGGTAAAATATAATCAAATATCTCCCATATCGAAGTGCATTTTGGAATAAATTTTGACTGTCACAATCTACTAAAGCAACACGTCCAATTCCGTAGACTCCCTAAAAATTAAAAATTTAATGATTAGTAGATTTAAAAAAAATGGGACTGGGTATACTTCATGCCCACTTGACAAACTTTTCATTTCCATCGACTGTTTACAATTATCTATTAATTTCATGAAAATCTCATCTTTACTTTATTCTTCTATTGAAGTTCATTATTTTGTCATATTATTTTTTATTTTTTCAAGTGTTCATAACAAAATAAGAATTGTTAAAAACAATATGTAAGTATTTTAGGTTATATAAAATCATCAATTACAATATTTTATCAATATTTAACATTTTTGATCAACAATATAATAAGCAAAATTAATTTTCAATATGCTTTAATTTATTTATTTTACAACTAATTTATTATTACGAATTTCAAAAATCGGCCTCATTACAATAGCTTTTTAATGGGCAGTTAAAAATGATAATAATATCTCTAGTACACAAATAAAATAATTATTAATACTAAAGTACATATAAATTAATTTTTTAATTTATATTACTTACAGGTAAAGCTTTAAAAAAACGTTCGTAAAATGTAGACTAAAACGGATTAGTAAGCCTCAAAAAGCTGTCACAAAATCGTTGAGAAAATTTCATGTGAGTGGGTTCATCATATTCACCTCTAAATGATCGTTTCATTACTCTCATGTGACCTTCAAAAAGTATATTTATATTACATATTTAATTAACACCAAAAATAATAAAATTATACCAAAAACAGCCCTACGGACTGTACAAAACTGTGCGCCAAGTTTAAATGACGAGGACGATAATCTCTGTTCTAAAAATGCTATTATCGTAAATGTATATCATTTAAAAAATTACAAAAAATCGTGAAATCATTAAATGCCAAGTATTGTATTTCGAATATTAGTCACGTTTATTAAAGTAAAATAGATTAATTTTATGTAAAATAGTTTTTAATTGTTTACAAAGTTCAAAAATCATTTTTAATACTTAGAAAAAAAAGGTACAGAAAAGACAACGACGTGAATAAAGTTATCAATTATAAATATTAATTACAATTATTTTCTTCAATAAGAAGTATGAGGAAAACAGGGCTGTTTTTGGTATGATTATATATTGTAAAATATTTGTATGTCACCATCTAATGAGTTTTAGACTAACGACAGTTGGTTAGTTAACGACGATTGCTTGACGATTAGATTGTTTATAGCAACGAGGGAAGAGTTTTTTTATCTCCAGTTTTTGACTAAGACGAGTTGACCGGACGTCTTCCTTCTAATTTATTAATAGCTGTCAATCTTTAATAAACTTTTTCATTATTTATTAATTTTCTGAAGTTATTATTAGGACTTATTTTACAATATATATTATTTTATCAATACAACTGGTCTCAATGCTTGAAGGAAATAATGGAGGTCAGAATGATTCAAATATTGCAATATTTCATTTATGCATTCCGATGGCAGCCTTTCAAAAATATTTGATACACAACATCTTTGAATTTTCTCATATAAATTACAGCGCTGTTGAATATCACGTAAATGAGATTTTAGAAAATGCCCATAAACAGAAAAAAACACCGATAGTTTATCACATTTTATCAAATTCACTACATTTTCGTTGCGAGCATAATTCACAGCTTTATGTGGACTCTTCTTCAAGAAAGTGTATAAAATTGTTTCACTCTCAGGACGGGGTAGCAAAAAATAAATCTCATCGCGACACCTATATTCATGAAATTTGATTGTATCTAAATAGTAATCGGAAGTCTTTGTATAAAATACATCTAAAGTCTTTTTGCGAACCCACATACTTATTTCCTTCATCTCAATCACATGTACTGTGAATATTTCAGCTATTGGCAGATGGAGAGTATCAAATTGTTTTACGAGAATATCAATTACTGTATTATGTTCTTTGTCCTCAATATTAATATCAGCACCGAATTTAAGAAGCAGTTCATGGAAATCATAGAACCTAGATGATTTTTCAACAAGATAATGCAGAGGTGTTTTACCAAATTTATCAGCACAATTAACTGACATATCCTCCTCAACAAGAATATTAAGAAGATATTTAAAAATTTTTGTATCGTAGTTGATATCTTCCTTAATCATGCATGCATAATGGAATACAGTTCTTCCATCTCTATCTCTCATACAGGAATCAGCTCTATTTTTTATCAAATATTTCACAGCTTCTACATTTTTATTCCAACAAGCATGATGGAGTGGAGTCCTCATATCATTGTCAACTGCATTAACATCAGCCTGATAATTTACAAGAACTTTCATGGATTTGAAATCCCGTACGCATCTATTTTCCCAAGACACTGTTAGACGTAGAGGAGTATTTCCTTCAGAATCTTTAACATAAACATCAGCCTTCGCTTTTAAGAGTACTTCAAGAATTCGATCTGGAGTATTAAGAGCTGCATAGTGAAGGGCTGTTCTTCCACAATCATCTTTAGCATCAATATCGTTTGTATAATTTAGAATATATTTAATAATTTCTGCTGGAATTTTAGACAATTTTGCTGCTAGAAATAAAACAGTATTCCCTGATGCATCTTTTAAATTCGCATTAGCTTTATTTTCTAAAAGTAATGGTATAATATTCAGTTCATCCAATTCTATTGCTAAATGTAGAACAGTTTTTTCTGATCCGTCTTTCAAATTCACATTAGCTCCATTTTTTAATAAAAGCTCAACCATATGACAATGTTTACGTTTGACTGTCTTGTGCAATGCTGTGTCACCGATGTTGTTCTTCATATCAATGTTTGGATTCTTTTTTAATATTAATTTGACAATATTGTCATCATTCCATTGAATTGCTAAGTGAAGTGCTGTTTCGCCATCTCTATTGACTGCATCGATGTCAACATTACTGTCCAAAATATCTTGAATACAATTATCTCCTCCTATACACGTCAAAGCAAAATGGAGTACGTTCTTACCAAAATAATTTTTAATAGCTGGATCAGCGTTACATTCTAATAGAGCTTGTAAAAACTCACGATTGTTATTCATCACAGCATGATGGAGAGGAGTATTACCTGCTTCATCTTGAAAATTAATATTCGCTCCTTTTTTAACAAAGTATTAATAATTTTTAAATACGTTTCTTTAACAGCTAGCCCTTGAGAAACAACATCTCTTTTACTTAAATAAAAAAGTGGAGTTTTTTTACGTGAATTGACAATATTAGCATCTACATTATTATCAAGAAAAACTTTTATCATATCTAAATTCACTTGTTTAGCTGCCAAATGAAATGGCATGAGACCGTTTTTATTCTCGAGTTTATAATCAGCACCTCTCTTTAGAAGAATATCGACAACATCCACTTTTCCATTCAAAACAACATAATGAAGCGGTGTCTCACCATCTTCATCTCTTTCGTCAAGTTTTGCCTTATTCTCAAGAAGACTGTCTAATATATTTAAATTATTATTTTCTGCTACATAGTGAAGTGGTATTTGACCCTGTCTATTTGTAGCATTAACATCTGCACCCTCACTAATAAGAAGATCTACGTTATTTCCATTTTCAGCAGCTCCATCATAATGAAGATGTATCGAGTCTCTTCCAGCTTGTGTCAAGTTTTTTAAATTGAATTTCGTAAAAACTCTCATTATTTTGAACAAATTCATTTTAAATGCTTGATCAAATGGTTTGAGACCGCATTTATCTTCGAGTTTATGATTGGCACCTCTTTTTAAGAGAATATCGACAATATTCTCATTTCCACTATCAACAGCATAATGAAGTGCAGTTCGATCATCTTTATCTCTTTCGTCCAGTTTTGCCTGATTTCTAAGAAGACTCTTCAATATTTTTAAATTACTTTTTTTTGCGGCAATGTGAAGTGGTACTTGACCCTGACTATTTGTAGCATCAACATCTGCACCATTACTGATAAGAAGATCTACAGCATTTTCATTTACATTTAAAACAGCGTAATGAAGTGGAGTTTTACCATAACTATCTTGCTCGTCCAGTTTTGCCTGATTATTAAAAAGACTGTATAATATATTTAAATTATCACTTTTTGCTGCATAGTGAAGTGGTACTTGATCCAATCCGTTTGTAGCATTTACATTCGCACCATTACTGATAAGAAGATCCACAATATCAGACATATTTAAATCAACAGCAACATGAAGAGGTGTTTCTCTTGTTTCACTTCTTGCATTTATTTCGAACTTGAATTTTAAAAGAATTTCAATGACTTCCATATTTTTATCTTTTATTGCACGACATAGGAGTATGCTACTGCCATCATCTAGATAGAATGCAAGTCGTCGATATGAGTTATTTGTATCGATAATCTCTAATTTCATTTGAAGAACAACTGTATATTTATCTTCTATAGCTGCTTCACATAAATAACTACAATCACTTTCGTTTCTTGTGATAATATGTCTGATACGATCTTCAATAATATTCTCTCGTTGATCTTCCAAATTGGTATCATCACTTTCAGTAATTGATTTTTTTAACAATATTTCTTTAACTTTGACAGTAGAATTGAGAGGAAAATAATCGTCAGATTCTGAACAGTTGTAGTTCAATAGTAGAAGTCCAAAATGATCAGGATGTTCAAGCTTCAGTGGAATCATCTTCTCAATTGTGGATTTTTCTGTTTCTGCTGTTATAAGAATCCCTTTCTGATCATCTTTTCCTAAGTAAGACAAATAGAATCTTTCTACTTTGATATTGACATCGGACAAAGAGCCATCGAGGGTTGAACCTGAAAATAAATATTTGCTGACTTGATTATTACTGTAGTAATTTCGTCATAGAAAATATAATTTTTCTCATACCCCCGCCCAAAGTTAAAGTTTGCTCCCCTTTTTCAGGTCCCAAAGCGACGTATGTACCCAGTAAACACTGAATATAACAGCAATATAACATAGTGGTAACATGTAACAAGTTATATAACGTAAAGTTACATATATGTTGTATAATTGTAATATATTGACAAAGTAACAAGTTTATATTGCAGATGGTAAAACTTTAAACCAAGTTTTTAACAACCCCTCTCCCCATCCTTAATCCTCTCCAACATCAAATATTTACAAAATACCAACTATTCAAGATAGTGTACATTTTTTAATTTTCAAACGTTAAAAACTATGTGAAGGAATATTTTCCGCGCCCAACGTATATATGTGAAAACTGTATAACATACTAAAATTTCAAGGAAATCGGGGGTATGCTACCTAAACTAAATAATTACCAATAGCAATATCTATGTAACTTCTATGGTACATAACTGCAATAGAATATGTAACAAAAGTTATGTAAAGGATATATAACAACGATATAACAGTGTTTACTGGGTATTCTATCCCGCATAAAAAGACAAAAAATCGTCTGTGCGCATACCCAGACAGGTGTTGTCTTTCTCTGTAATATAATAATAATTCGAAGGAGCATGTCCTTCCATGGTCCACCCATCTTACCTTTTTTATTGTCTGAATCATTGGCCATATAAGACATGATTGAAATGTGCTTGATGAAATATTAAATAGTACAAAAATATTCAAAAATAGTCAGCTCTTTTTTTCAATTCTGCTGTTCGACGTTATATCAATTTAATTCGTCCACAAATAGGGATGGGCGATATTTATCGATTTATCAAGAGTGACTGCTCTTTACTCGCACCATGTCACGTCTCGACTTTGCCCTCTTTCACTTTTTGTCACTCTCTCTCTCTCTCTCAATCATGATGTGTTTAACTCTTATACACAAAATTTTTTCCTTTACCTGACTCCGCAATTCTATATTTTTGATTTACCCAATAACTATATAATCTACCCTTGTAGCCATTAGGAAACAAATTGCCGTCGGACGTATAGTCGAACTGAGAAGAGAGTTCCTCAGTTGCTTCAATGCTTTTGGGCTCCCCACCACTGATTTCTTGTGTCCTCTACCACATTTTTCGCTACTGCGCAAGCGTATAAAAGACGTAACGGGATTATCCTGCAGACACCCGACTCCCTCAAGTTTGAGGGTGATTCGGGGCTGCAGCCGTTCAGTCATTATTTCAAACGTCTCAGGATTCGAAGAGACCCGAGGAAAACCGTTTTCTGCATACGAGTTGCGAAAATCTCAGCCTGAGTAATATAAGGCAGATTGGTATTGTTCGAAGTTCTGTCAGAAAGCGGTCTCTAATCCTTCCGAGGGCGCCAATCACCAGGACTATCACATGCGTTGTGTGCTTTTATTATTATTTAAATAGGCACCAGAAGCTGTGGATACTGAATTTACTTTAGATTTAAATTTTATCTGATAAAAAGAAGATCAGATGACCATTTATGTCGAGTAGTGTAGAACAGAACTCTACCCTTCAAGGAAATAGTTCTGTTCGGGGAGTGCCTCCATTTTTTGCCATTTAAACACATATGGACAACTCTATAGCTAGCCCAGGAAAATTCTCAGCGAAAAATATATTCTGTCAAGACCAGAAGTCGAACCCGGACCTTCCAGTTACGCGCTGGCTGCTATTGATGGTATCGAAGTTGTCTGGTAACTACTTTGCCGACTAACCAATCGGTAAACTTCGATTTTGATTGTCGATAAAAGTGGGATATCAAAGACAGTACCGACAGTATTCTTTGGGGATATCGACCTTTGTAAGAATCGATTCTGAATAAACAATCCAGTGTAATCGAACTGGAAAAAGTGTGGTTATCAAGCAGTCTTCAAATTCTATTTTTTTTTCTAATATTTAAATTTTAATATCTTCAATGTTTAAGATAACGTCAAGTCTAGTTAGTAAATATTTATTATTAATATTATGATTATTAATTATCATTCAGCTTGCATAAATTCATTGTTTATTTATTTAACTTTATTGAGTAAATTACTTGATGTTGTTACGTTACTTTTAACTCCTTTGAAACAAACTGATAGGATTTTGTGAATTTTTATACAATATTCTGAAAATCTACGAAATTTTAATTTTTCTGTGTCAGCTATTTTATAAGAATTTATAATTGTTATAAATTTGTTTCATTAAGGAATTGTTGTCATTTATTTTATTCTTATGTTCTCAAAGTAAGAGTGTCAATAATTAGTACATTGTCAATCTGTAATATGATTTGATTTTGTTAATTTTAATATCAAAATTAATAAATATATTAAACGGAGAAATTTATTTCCATTGTTCCAGGTTAACTTAGGAAAGCAAAATACTCCAATTTTGAGGCATCAATGTAATAGATTATACAGCATATACACACCGGACTACTTAGATGTAAATAATTATACTACTGTGAAAGTATTAATTAATTATACTAAATAATAATAATAATAATTAGTAAATAATTAATGAATACTTTCACAGTTAGTTGGAGATTAATTAAAAAATTATTAAAAAATTAAACTCACAAGTTTAATAATTATACTTTCAATGCAGATAAATTTTGATAAAAATTATATTTCATCTTTTTCATAGGCATACAAGCCAAAAATTCCAGTATATTCTTCACTTAATGTAGAAATAACTGGATATGTTTTTCCTGTATTGGAAAGTTTTCAAAAATTGATTCACAACGTAGCAGGACAAATGGACTTTGATGTCGTTGAAAGGTACAAATTATTGCATTATTTTTATATACCTTATTAATTCCATCTAAAATTTTTTTTTTAGTTTCGCTTTACCACCAACACATTTAAAAATTAATCGATACAAAGCACAAAGTACTATTACTGAGGAAGAATATGAATTAAAAATTTATGAAAGAAATTTAAAACTAAATAATGTATCAACAACTAGATTTCCAATATTTGTAAGGATTCTAGAAGCTACTCAACCAGAGGGTGTAATAATGAATATACGAGAATGGGATTCTATCAAAGAAGAATTGCGGTATATTCCTGATAAAGAATTATTGGATTTGAAATACGAATTGGAAAATTTCCGCAGAAATAAATAAGTTATATCACATATTTTTATTACTGCTAGACAATTTGTATGTTTTTGTTAAATTACACAAAATAAAGCTGACTGCTATAAGTAAGCTTACCATTTTTGTTACAAAGATTATTTGATTCAACTTAAAATTCACACGATTTATAGATAACAATATTTATTTTTTGTTATATGCATTTGTTACATTTTAACCATTCATTTAATTTCATAACATCTATTTATAAAATATAATAATAATTACAATAATTTATTTATCAATATATAATTCTACTCTAGTGATGCAGAATTAATAGCATGGAGAAAAAAAACAATAGTATTGTATGACAGAATTACATTATTTTTCTCAGTATTAGAAATATTTCACATCTTAAAAGAGTATTTAGACTAAAAAAAATTAACAGGATTTATTTAACAATCTATTGAACTAACACAAATTTCAAATCATTCGGTACTTTAGTGGTATGATTTTTATTTAATAATTTTATTCAAAACTTCTTGTAGTTTTGAAAAGATTTAATATCTAATTTTGTTAAACAATAAACTTTTACAATTAAAAATAGTTATTGAAATAAATTCATCATTAATACAAAAATCAGACTACCAGAGTAGATTAAATAACTATTTTAAATTCATTAAAAGATGTACCACCAAAGATAAATGGTTTGAATTATTAATTATAAGAATAAAAAGTAATATTACATCATACACCAATAATAATTTGACAATAGATTTTATCGTATACAAATAAACTGATTAATTATTCTTTTAAATTCAAACCTTGATGAAATACATAATTGATTTTATGTAAACAATGATTCAACAATTTATATTTTATTCTATCAAGACAAGTATTCTTATCTAATTTTTTTTTTTCTTCAATCTCTGGAATATTTAAAATAAATAGATATATTCTTTATACAATTCAAATTATTCAGTAAATTTTTTAACAGAAGATTATTAATTGAAATAAAAATGAAAGTATGTTTTTGTTTAACTGGTAAAATTTAACTAATTGTTAATTTTCATTAAAAGAAACCACACTTATATTTCGATTAACAATCCAATAATATAAGTTTTTATTCTTATAAACTATTAACTATTTTCATTAATAATTTATCATAAAAAATAAATAAATAGTAATTATTTCTACTCTCATTGTATATATTAAACTTAAAAAAATATAATCTATTAGTTGTATTCAGGCTACCAAGAACAATGATTTAATACAAAAAATTATACCAAAATAAAAAAGGAAATGTTTCAAATGCCAGAATTATGCTTTTTATGATGATGTTTATCATATTTTTGTAGTTGATTGTTTTTCAGATATACCACAATGTAAAAAAAATTAATATTATTTGTTGAATTATATCAAAAAACCATCATCATTTGAAAGAAGAACATTGGAACATACTCTTGTATTGCTTTGTCTGTATATTGTAATGCTAAATTTTATTTTTTTATAGCATCAAGTTCCTGTGGCAAAAATATTCGTGATTAAAGCACAAGAAAAAATACTGTATAATAACATTTTTTAGAGATTAGTAACCTTGGACTAATTTAAAATATCTTAATACTTGCTGTCATGCTTTTCAACTATGTAAAGAATAAGATAAACAAAGTTGTTCATCTTTCACTTATTTTATTTATATGGCAATGAAACATTGCCATATGTGTTTCACTTTAATTTATGTTAATTCTACATACCTCTTTCTTAAAAAACTGCCTCAATTCTCCAACAATAAAATCCCGTAACTCAGCATAAGCTTTATCAATATTATCATTGACAATAATTCGATGAAAATTACCCGCTTTTTCTCCTTAAAATGATACAAACATTCATCAAACAACAATCAACTATCTATCTAGATATAATCAAATTTTTTGCGATTTTTTTATAATCGCAATAACAATGAAAGTTTTTGTTATCAATGATTAAAAGCAAATAGTTTAGAGATAAGATTATTAAATGATTTACCATATTTTATTTCCTCTATGGCAATTGCTAAACGTTGTTTAAGAGAATCATCTGTTTCTGTTTTTCTCATCTTCAAACGTTTCTCTAGTTCGTCAAGTGAAGGAGGTTTTATAAAAACAAGTAAAGGATTAAGTGAAGTTTTTTTTATCTGTTCGACACCTTGCATCTCAATATCTAACACACAAATCTTTCCGGAATTGATTACTTCTTCAACTGAATTTTTGCTGTAACATATCGATACATACTCATCAATAAAACTATAATAAAAAATTCCTTACTTATTAAAATTAAGCTCTTTTCCCAGATCTTCCATGATTTCTTTAAGTTCATGAAATATTAATAATAATTAAATATAATTTCTATTAATCATTTAATATACCTTGTTCCATATAAATTATTATTAAATTCAGCAGTTTCAATAAATTGATTTTTGTCTATTTGATCTTGCATTTTTTCTTTGGTGGTAAAATAATAATGTTTCCCATGCTCTTCTCCTGGTCTTGGTTGTCGTGTTGTGTGAGATACCGAAAATCCAAATCTGTCAGGAAATTCATCAAATAATCTCTTTATCAACGTACTCTTGCCTGAACCAGAAGGACCGCATATCACCAATGGTCGTAATCCTTTTTGCAACATGTTGTAATATGTTTGAATCTAATGAAAAAATTCCATGTCACTCAGCTGCATTATTTATAATTAATAATCTTGAGTATTATTAAATGAATCATGTTTGTGAGATTGATGATTAATAATAAATCCTAAGTTAAATATTAATAACAGAATTTTAATTCTATAAAAATGAATTAAAATAATATTTTAATGTACACAGCATGTTATTATGATAAATTATAAACAAATTGCCACTTAGATAATCAATGTTACAGGATTTTTGCAATTGTTACACACGAGGAATAGGTGATACTTGTTAGATATTAAATGATATTCATATTAATCAATTTAAATGTATACCTAGATGTATATTTTAGTTTAAATCAAGGTACTGAGAATTTAATATTTAATTTAATTGATTCGTAATTATTCAAATGGAATGATTATTTATATTTATAAAATACGTTGATAAACTATAGCTCAACTAAATAACCAAACACATCATTGGTAAAGTTTCGACTGAACCGGATTGGTACGATTGGGATTAGCTCATTCTAGGATACGAACTCTAGTGGCAAGTGTTGTAAGACATCAACGAAAGCGCTTATTTTCAAATAAAAATAAAGAAAAACAAAGTTTGTTTACATTTATTTTCCAAAAATAATCCCAAGATAAACTTCTATTTGGTGTTTTTAACTATCATTTATTTGTAATGTTTAGGTTATGTTTAATAAAATAAATTTATTTGCTAAATAATCAACAATATATTAATTATAGCTTCCTAATTCTTGAGATTATAAATAATTGCTCCGAAAATTGTAAACACGTTATGCAGCATGTAAATAACGTCAAACAACATCAACAATTGAACTGATCAGCTGATCAATTCAGCACCACCATCTGTCGTGAGTGAAGTGAACATAACCTCACATACATTACAAGTAAACGTGCAAATGTAGTCTCTCGCGTCACATAATTAATAATCAATTTGATCGATAAATTGTTTACTTCGAGGTTGAATTGTAATTTACAATTAACAGACCATAAAAGTGTGTAAATTGAAAATGAGTTAGGTGCTTCTTTGTCTGTTCATATTTAGACTGTTACGTTTCTTCGTATCATCTCACTTGTAATGTTTATGTATCTATCAAGGTGGACATTATCATTATTGTCAACGGGGTTGTTCATTGTTAGAATTTGATTTCCTTGAGCAAGAGTTTCATCGCGTGTGACCACAAACATTGCTGGTCAATGTTAGGAAGGTCGTGTGCTACATTGAAATAATGGAAACTATATCAAAAATTAACATTTCTACATTGCATCTAATCGCTAAGTTATGCAGAATATTTGTATTTAATTGTTTTAATTGTTAAATAATCATGGCGACAATGGAGAAAATGAAATCAAGACAGGTATAAAAAAATATTTATTAAGAATATATTGATATTTGAGATACTGTTAAGAAAAAACATTTAATTTTTTTCTTCATACTTCTGTCTTATAACCATTAATACATGTGAAACGTAAATTACATCAATTGACGACTGGAACAAAGCTCATATTAGTAATAAACTTTTTATTCTTTGAAATGAAATGTCAAGCAACAATCAACATTTGTTTGAGAATGTATTTATACATTGCTTATTCACTATTCTCAGATATCAATTCAAAGTTCTATTTTTAAAATAACTTTAAAGTTGAATAATCTTCATGAATTTATGTATTTATTCCATTTTTGTAGCCAGATAAGAGGATTAAATGCAAAATAATTTAAATTATTTGATATTTAAATTAAAAAATTATTTGATATTCATAATGAAATCTATTATTGCTTTCTATGTTATCATTAATACTTAATTTTATTTTACAGAAACGTAAGAAAGATAAAATCCGGGCTTATAATATTGAAAGACAAATTCCAGACGCTCCAACGATGGAGGAATTTGAGTGTCTCTTAGGAGAATCACCAACCAATTACCCAAGAGTTGAAGGGATTGAAAACATGGAAAGTGAGCTACATTCAGCAGCAATAGATACTGAAATTTATGAAAAAGAAACAGAAATTGTGGTGATTAAAAATAAGGAACAGGAAGAAGTTGATGGAAGGAATCAAATAGGTGAAGAAAAGAATGAAGAACAAATAGAAAAAGTGATGCAAGATAATGGAGAGATAGTTAATGAACCATTACCTCAACCAGTTGATGAAGTTGATGCTATTGAATTGCCAGTGCCCATTTTGATCGAAGAGCAATCGAGTAATAATGAAGAGCAAACCGAAAGTACAGTTTCTAGTTCACAATCAATCCAATCAGCGCCCACTGCTCCAATTGTTGAAAAGGTTGAAAATGACAAATTAATCGATCAACCAGAGGTTGAAAGTTTTAATAAATCTTCTGTCAATGAATTAAAAACAACAAATCAAGAACCATCAGTTAAATTAACACCAAAGGCTAGTGAAAAAATAAAGGCTGTCAACAAAGTTATTCCTTTTTCTGAAGCTCAATTGTCTGCTTTATATAGTAATAAGGAATTAACATTGGTAGATTCATTTATAACTGAATTCGTTGAAACACAATTGCGAAGTAATGCTGTTCGTCAACAGCATCGGTTACATGAGCTACTCATGACATATTTACGAATAAGAAATCACTTGATAATGAATTCTCATGAGCTGGAAAGTTTAAAAAAAAATTGTAAAGAGGTACAAAAACAGTTATGGCATCTTGATAATGCTTCAATTACTGAATCTGGTGAATGTCAAGATGGGAATCCAGTAAGTGCGACTCATGAGTATTCGATAGCTCATTTTAATCAACAAGCTTTGAATTCATTAACAAAAAATTTGTCTGCTATAAAAGAACTTCTTCATAATGCTCAAGCTCTCTATTGTTATGAAGCAGAAATGCTAAAGCTTCAGATAGAACATTATATTCAAAGGGTTTGTATATCTTGCAAAGAACTTGCTACATTGCCTCAAAATGCACCAGTTAATTTAACTGCTATTCAAATGCCTTCTCAAACGATGCCTCAGCTTCTTGAACTCCGAATGTGCATTACAATTCTCTTTAATTTTCAAAGACGGATTTTGAAAGATGGAAAATTTGTGTTAGACTCCAGAGAATGGCTTACAAGATTGGTAGCAGTGCTTTTACGTGTTGCAACATGGCAAGATCATTTATTTTTACTCAATCATGTTCTAAGATGTCCTGGAGGTGTTGCTAATTGGGCAGCAAGTTTTATTCAAACACCACCAATGCCTAAAAGTCGAGGAATCAGTTCTTCACCTCTTAATGATCCCTACTTGGATCACATGGTCACTACTCTTGCAGTTATTTTATTACCAGTCAAAGAAAGAGAAATGTTTCTTGAACAAGTACAAATCTCTTTACAAGACACTGGAAGTAACCCTGGTGATACTGTTTGGGTGATGCTTGACGAAGAAGGAGAGGAAGATGAAGATATATCTAACATTGGAGCAAACTTATTTGAAAGTGATTTAATAACTTTATTAAATCAAGTTCCTTTAGATAAATTATTTGAACAAGTTTTACTAATTGATAAACAAGACTATGGATTTTCTCAAGATAAACAAGGAATAACTGAACATCATATGTTAAGAATTTTTGCCTTTTCTACAACACTTGTCAGACTTTTTAGACAAGGATTAAAAACCTATGATTCCCCAAGATATAGACAATTAGCAAAAAGACTTAGTGCTCTGATAAGAGATGTAGTTCAATATGCAAGTGATCAATGGGAAGCGTTTGATAAAAGTAAAATAGTAGATCAGTTAATGATGATTAGACTTCAGACAGAATATGATTGCTTCTTTTTCCGTGCAGCTATGTGTATATTCTCATCACGACGACTTGGTGCTTGGCAATATTTAGCAGCTATTCCATATCATATAGTATCTATCAATACTCTTTGGCATATTTTTTATGCTTTACATAAAGATTCAATAACTGTAGACCCACTTGAAACAGATTTATCTGCAGAAGAATGGGAGAATGAGTTGAATTCTTCAATGTTAATGAAACAATTTGAAGAAAAGTTAATGGATATGCCTGGTGATGAATCTTACTTTCTTTTGACAACATTTGCTAACATGGCAATGGCTAGAACAAGTCGAGATCATGATTTCATCAAAGCTGTAACAATAGATTTATTCAGAATTGGATTCTTGAGTGAAAAAACTCAGGAATCATGCTCCAAAGATGCTCGATCTTTAATTTCAAATCTCACAAGCAAACATTCAACGTTATTATCTACAATCCTCATCAAAATGAGAGATAATTTTGTATCAGTTAAAAATTGGAGTTTATATTTATTTACAGAATTAAGTGTCGGAAAGTGGATTCCAAGTGAAGAAGACATTGGAATTTTATCAAGCTGGCTACATAATAATCCATTATCATCAACAGAAAGTCTCCTAGCTCGTTTGATTTTGACTAATTTAAACTGGGGACTAGACAAAAATGGAGATCTCTTTTTTCCTGTAAATCTTCATCATAGAATTGCTTTACTAGTTGTTGAATTAACAATTAAATATGTTCCTGAAACACCTGGACAAACGGCTTCACTGCTTGCTGAAGGTGTTAAACAAGTATCGTCCATGGTGAGACCTCAAAATAGTGAACAAGCATTCACACTTTGGGCTTGGGATATGGTAACAAGACTTCGTCTTCATCAACTAGATCAATCAAATTCTGCATGCCGAAATGCCATGTCAAACCCAGCAGAAGCCTTCTTTTATGTTCCTGATATTGACTCAAATGCGTCATTAGAAATTCTTGTACATGGAGTTCGAGAAAAACAACCCATTGCTTGCTTCGTGTCTACAATGATGACACTCTGGGGTCACTCTATTCCTTTAATTTGTACCAAAGGCTTTACGCAGTTATCTATTCTTCAATGTTTCTATAAATATGAACAGCTTCTTATTGCTCTTCATCATATTATACCATTGTTCTTATGCTGCTCAGATTCACTCTTTAAAAATGAGCGATTTAATAGCCTTATTGTATCACTTATCACTGCAGATAGAACTTATGTAAAGATGGCGAAAAATTTGATTGCTCCAGAATTTCCTGGTCCAATCATGAAACATTTTTCCAATATGATCGAGTCACATATGGCTAATTATAAAAGGTAATTACATAACATTACTAAATGATTTTTTTGTTGGTAAATGAATTGACTAAACATTTATTTCTTCTTGATTATTTGTAGATATTGTCTGTCAAGTCCTGAACCATTTGTTCGACTCTGGTTAAATGTACTAGTTCGAGTCCCTGATTGGAATCGTGATCAGAATGTTATGTTTCTGATCGACATAATTATTCGGGCAGCATTCTTTTATTTAGATGCAAGAACTACCACGGAAAATGTATTCCAGAACCTTTTTTCTGTAAGTATATCTGCTAAAACTTTAAAAATTATTATTTATTCTTATTTTAAAGACATTATTTCGTCTTAGCTTTCATTAGAAGGATTTCAAGAGGTATTTTTCGAGTCACTTTTCACTGTCAATATTTTTTTCTAGATGTTTTTAATAATATTTTTAATCATTTTAGAACCTGGGTGCTGGTAAATCATCAGGATCAATTGGCTCTTTCTTCAGTTGGGCAACAGGATCTGGAAATACACCAAGTCTTTTAGGAGGATCAATTCAATCTGTTTGGTTAGCATATGAAATTCTTCGTACAGAACAGCAGGAAAGAGAGTTAAAAACAGGACTTTGGAAAGAATTTCTACGAGAATTATCTCAACAATCAAAAGTATCATTAGACAGTGCGTTAAAACGTGCATGTGCTACATTAAAAATTCCACCATACAGTTCAAATGGATTGTCTATTTACCGCTGGTCTCAACAAGCACTAGATACTCCAATGGATCACCCAATGCTTCCATTATTATGGCAAAACTTCTTCACTCTTTTCTTATCTAGAGTACCAACATCTGCAGGTGTTCCTGATAGAGGTGGTTTGGGAGATAAATTTTTCGAAGGAATGATTAATTTAAGTTATTTGAAGAAAATTAAAAAGCGTTTGCATGACACAACAGAATATTTTCAAGCAAAAGGAGAACGTGATGTGGATAATGGTAAACCGATGACTGATGAGAGGAGAGTTTTTTATTTCAATGCTGCAAAGTTTTATAAAACTTTGAGTTTATGGCTAGAAGAACCAAGACTTCAAGAATCTGGATTATATCTTCCTGCTTTACCTCCTCAGTATATGTCACAAAAACTGGTGCTTCTGATGCAAGGAGATCATAGACCTTGGCTTGAATATATTGATTATGACCAAGTGCAACAGTTGCAATTAAAGGCAACAAGTGAGTGGCAAAAAACATGTCATCGATCGGTTGAAGAGAGTCATATGAAAATTACTTCAACACCAACAACACCTTTAGAACCTGCTGATCCTATTCAAAGAATTTATCGGCGACTAAGTACCTATGAAAGTCCTGAATCACCGCCATCATTAAGTCGTCATAATAATTTAATAGAACACATATCAAAAGATACTCTTCATGATTCTGATCGGGTAATTCGTTCCGTAAAAACTCATTTAAAAGGAATATTAGATTACGCACAGACTTATAATCTTCTTGTCTCAGAACATACAGCAGTAGACTGTTGCTTTTTGGAATTGATTCCTACTTTATATAAAGAAGTTGAAAGTCAAGTTACCCTTCATGCACTTTGTGATCCAGCACCACCAGGTCAACGAAGATCTCGGTCAGGAACTCCACCCACAGTTCATTGTGCTGGACCTGCTGTAATTAGAATAAAAATTTCTGAAGCACGTGTTAGTGATGGAATTGATCAGATGATTAGTCAGAATCGTGCAGAGTATGAAAATTTATTGATCAAAGCTTGTCAACCACCTCCAAGTAAAGTAACCCAAGGTTGTGTTTTTATAGATCATTTAATAGCTCTTCTTGAACATGAATTAAATGTTAATCGAACATGTGAAAACACTGCCATACTTCGTAATGTCCAAGAAAGTGGTGTTAAACTTTTTTACCATTTAGTGGAATTTTACAATGAAGATGCTGCACTTTGTCCACCGACCAAGCAACTTATAACAACATGTATTGAAAAATTAGGACAAATGTTTATTAGTGGTGAAGAAAATGAAGGTCCAAGATTATTAAGTACTATTATGCAACGATCTAATCTCGGGGGATTACTTGGTCCTCATTTTACTCCAGTAGCTGGTGGAGCAACCAGATTTTTACAAATGTACCAAACTGTTGTTGATTTATCAACAGGAACCAATGTGGACTTATGTTTTGTATTACTTTCCAAGTTTGATGTTGGTAGTTGGTTGAATTATCGACGACCAAGATTGAGTGAACGATCTACTTTTATAGATCTAGTTTCCAAAGCATTATGTGATATAGGACTTAATCCTGAAGAAGATAAATTAATTCTTCATGAACAATTTCGTAATCATTTGAGACTAGTGTTGTTACATGAATTCCCGGAACATTATGGAGAAGTTCTTAGTGCAATTCTACGAGGAAGTGAAGGTCAAAATCTATCCTTGGATGTTTGGAGAGATTTATTAGGTGCATTAAGTGGACGACCGAAATGTGCAGTGCCGATTCATCCCGGAAAAGTTAGAGAAGAAATCAGAAGATATGCAACAGAACAAAGATTATTGACACGTCAAGAAATTTATGATACCGCGGTACTTTTAAGTAAACATTTCATGAAAGAAAGACTTCAGTATGGTCTTTATGGTCTATACCCAAAGTATCGAGTATACAATGAGCCTCTTGTAATTTTTCTGGGGATGATAGGACATGCATTGGTAGTAATGACTCTTCAATTCGATCGCGGATCTTTAGCTGATCAGCTTTGCGAACGAATTTGGCCTGTATTGAGTGATATGTTTGCTCCTTGGATTACACCTTATTGGACAAGAAATTTGAGAGAACCTACAGCTGCTTGGATCCAACAACTCACTGATGATCGATCAGTATTGTTGCCATGGATTATCACTGATGGGCCTTATGCAAATAAAACAGTTGCTATTTTTGTTGAATGTATCAGATTTATTATTGATACTATGCCAGCATCCAGCAAAATTCTCTGCTACGTTTGGCAATTTTATGTCAACAACTTTGCTCATGCTTCAGTTAAAGATCACATTCTTAATGTCATTCACGGGAATTTCTTATCACTCCCTTGGGATAGATTCTCGCCAGGGATTAATGATGTAGAATTAATGGTCAAAGTTGTTGATCAATATCTACCAGATAGTCATCTATTTTTAGGAAGTGTTTTTGTTTCTATCAACTGGACTGTATGGATAAATGAAGTTTTGACAACTCAACCACTTCCTGTTGCTGCTCGAGCCCATGTTTGTTTATTGAATTTGTTTGTAAAACTTTCTAATGAACCAAATGTACGACAGGTAAGATTAAAATTAATTAATAAATGACAATAAATTATTAGTATGATTAAACATAATGATGATATATGGATATTTTTCACAGAATGAAAAAACAGTTCAATTGATTAATGAAGCTGAAAAGTTCCCTTGGCATCTAGTAGATGCAACAGTTTATGATCAAGTTATTAATTGGCATGTAATGAGTTGTGACCCTCGAGTAATTATCTCTTCAACAAATAATCAACCACAAATTCATCCAATTGATCTAGCAATAAACAAGTAAGTAACTTTAGCTTTCTTTTTTCAAGTAAAATGAAAGACATGTTGTAATTTACAATTTCTATTTTAATCGAGTTTTTTTTAGTATTAATAAAAGAATGTTTTATAGATAATATTTTCTCATCTTCTTGTACTTAATAATATGAGACTAATGACTTTGTTATAAAAAATCTTGATTGAAAGCCCATCAAATAAGTTGTCTTTCATTGATCTTTAGTTTTATTGAACAAAAAAATAGAGATACCCATTTAACTTATTTGTATTCTATCTAATACTGATGATTACTTACAGTCTTTTGAAAGTTGTCGCGGCCTACGACCCTGCAGTGACCCACTTCCACCCTACGACATTAAAGAAACGACAGATGTACGTGCGTTCATCGGTGAAACTGTTAGTCAACTGCACGACACGACATAAGACCTTAGTTTCCACTAATATTAAGGCTTTCACAACTACATTATCAATGATGTTGGATGAAATGGAAATGATCATTACAAGTACTGTTTCTGGTCCTCAACAAGCAGCAGAGGCAGGTCTTTTATTAACAGAATTATTACATTCAATTCATCAAAGTGGATTTTTAGTAGAACAACTACGAATTAGTTGGTCTAAATGGTTATCTGAAAAAACAGCATCAAATCCAATTCTTTTGGGAATTCTTAAAGTCATTGGAGTAACTGTGACATCTTCATCAACTCTTGGAGATCTTACAGAAGCTGCATTAGAAGCTTATTTTAAACACAGTGTTACTGATGATCTAGAACCAACATGGGCATCAGTTCTTGGTATTCTTCAACCAATTGTTCCTAGACAACCACCAATAGAAGGAGTTTTAGTTGCCGAAGGCAAACTTCTTACTCTTTATGCCATGCTTTTAAAACGATTGCCGTCCTGTAGAGATATCAGGGAAGAAGGAATGCTTTTAGTAAATCTTATCGATTGGATCAGTGCGATTAAACCATCGTAAGTATATTTTAAATCAGATTAAATTGATGCAATTCAATAGACTTAAATGATTATTATATTTTCAGAGATGTTGCTGAAGCAAAATTTCCCTTATTGTGGGCAAAAGCATTCGAATTAGCATATAGGCAGTGTCAATATAGTGAAAATACAATAGTGGCAGCGAGATCATTAAAAAGATTAAGTCGAGCCTTGTTAACAGTCGCTGATGATGCAGGCCAAGGTTGGGGGATTCTTGGAGCGATTGGAATAAGAAAAGGCTCCCAACTTTCTATAAGGTACATATTTTATGATTAAAAAAATTTTTAAAAATAGAAAAGACATATTTATATGTTTACTTTCTTTTAGATGTAAATTCTTAGCACGTGCTTTGGGTATTTACTGCCTTGCTCAACTGCCAGAATCGAAATCTGAACAACAAATGATACGTTTTACTCCTCATTCACCTGGTATTGCACCTGTAAGACCTAATAATGACTTGGATCCTCTTGATGCCCGGCCTAATCCAGATACTGTAAAAGGTATACAGACTTTGGAAAGTCTTTCGACAAATAAACAATATGCTGAACTAAAAGGTGACATCGAACAAGCTATCAAGATGATTCGGGACTCTGCTAATTCACTTCATAATGCTGTTATGATCACTGGGCTTTTAACTACAGAGTTATATAGTGAAAAATACTTACACGTTTTAAGTGATTAAATGAATATTTTATTTGCGACTGAAAAAACAGGGTTTATTTGTTTAACTTTTTTTTTTTTTTTTTGGAGGTATTAGATTCGCTTAAGCAAATCTAGTCATAATATGAATATAATTTTTTACACATTACATTTTGATAATTCGTAAAAAATTATTAAGTCAAATTTACAAAAATATTATGTTACTCATTTAACTAACATTTTAAATGATGTAAATACTTTGTTACAAATATTATTATTTATTATAATTATTATAATTAAGATAAAAAATATCGGTCGCATAATTAGAAATGAAAAAAAAAAGATGTTTATATTTTTTTTTAAACAAAAAATTTAGTATTTATTTCAATAGTGCTTGGCCTTAATTAGGCTGTGATTTTTAGTATATAAAGTTACCATATAAATTGAATTAATTAAACGTTATAAATCAATCAAGAATAGAATTTTATTTTTAAGTGTCAAAAAAAAAAAAAAATATGCAAGAATAAAAAATTAAAGATAATATTAAATTAAATTATTATCAATTATTAACTTTTTTTTTGTAGCATTTACAGAAGCTCTTAGTATTTCTGAAGCTTCTTTTGGTGGATAGTCTACAAGTTTACACTGAAATTGGTCAGTAAATGCGTTCTTAAATATAGGAATTATGTCATTAATAGTTACATCTGCATTCAACTCTTTGCTGATACTTGTCACTTCTTTCCCTTCAATACCACAAGGCACAATATGATTAAACCATTCAAGATCAGTATTACAATTTAATGCAAGACCATGACTAGTGATGTAACGTTTACCATGAATTCCAATAGCACAAATTTTTTTATCATTAACCCAAACTCCAGTATGAGGTGATGTTTCACCTTTGATTCCTAACTCTGCACAAAGTCTTATTATCATCTTTTCAATTTGACACACATACCACTTCACACTTGGTTTAAATTCTTTTAAATTAAGTATAGGATAGGCTACTAATTGTCCTGGGCCATGAAATGTGATCAATCCACCTCGATTTGTTTTAAAAAAATCAGCACCTTTGCTTTTTAACTTTGCAATTTCATCATCAGTATAATCTCTATCACGAATTCCAATTGTATAAACTGGATCATGCTCTATTACAACTAAAGTATTATTATGATCATTAGAATTAGAGTTGAGGTGGTGATCTACAAGAGTTTGTTGCAAATGAAGACCAGCTTTATAACTCATACGACCAGCCCACAATAATTTTACTATCCTAGCATGCATTGATGTAGTCGAGTTCATTATTAATTATTGACTTTGCATAATTTTTAACGCTTCAGTTTGAGTGACTAAAGTAATCAGTTTCTCACGACCATTTTTTTCTTTTTCTAGCCTTATTTCATCAGCTTTTTTCTTAATTGTTAGATATACAAGCAATGAAACATAAGCATCAGTTGCTGCATATTTCTTTTGATTTGTACTTAACGGCAATATATGCCATTTGCTAACTCTCACCTCTTTATCTTTATTTATTTTTCTGTGAAGAATAAAAGCAGTTAATCTTTGTAGACTCCATCTACAAGATCGATTATATACTTGATTAGCTAGTACTCCACATTCAATGCAATTATTTTTTACAACTCTTTGTGCTGGAAATTCTGGAAAATCTCTACCCAATTTCCAAATATCACTGTATAAAAAATATATCATAAGTATTATACCAATTTTAAATAATATCTAAATAAGTGTAATATTTATTTAACCTTACTTTTTTATATTTACTCCAACAATTCTTATTCTTGGATGTTTTAATAAATTGATAAATGATTGCGGTAGCTTGGTTAAATTATAAAGATGCAATAAATGACAAGTATGTTCAGATACACAAAGTTGTGCTAATGCTGTTTTTCCTGCACCAGTCTGATAACTGAAAGGCCACTCCAAATCAAACCCTATTGGATATTCACCACGTGTATGTTTTTCAATTCGTTCGCTACAAAGAAATATTTTTAACTTTAAATAACCTTTTTTTTTTTTTTAAAATTATTCAACTGATTAAATTTATATTATCTCGTCATAAAGTCTAAGCATAAAACTTACATAACTTGAGCACAGATCATTGCACAATCTTCAAAACTAGTAACGAAATATATTTTGCCTGTAAAAACTATCGGTGGCAAACTCTGTACATCAGGTTCTCTTTGGGTGACCAAGTCATTTTGCAGCAATGCCTATAAAAAAATGGATATCCATAGAAAAACCATAAGTAAAAATAATTGTTTTAACCTTCAGATATGTTTATTTTAAAGGTTATAATTCTTTAAATAAGAAGGCTTGAAATAAAAGCTTGATATATAAATAAAATAAAAACCTTTTTGTCAGCTTCTGAAGAGCTTCGAAGTAATCGTTTAATGGTCCTTCCTTCAATGATATTATCTTTCTGAAAGTGATATATAATTACTAACTTAAATAATAAATCACAACAAATTGACTTACTGGAAAATAAATTAAATTATATTAACCTCATACTTGAAGTTTGTAGTTCGATTAGTCATGTTTGCATTTATTCTAAGAAATCTTATTTTAAATAAAAATTTTTTTTTCAACTTTCTCCACTTGAAAATAATCAAATAAGTCACATTTATTATGAATCTCTGTAGACTGAAAACAATAATCACCTCCGTTCCTTTGTTTCTTTCTTGTTATGATCACTGTATACAGCATGGTGTTTTCTTTTGTTTTCCCGCCAAGAAAATGCATCAAGTGGCGATAGTGCTGCCATTTATCATCCAAGATGACTTTGTTTTTATTATAAATTTATTTTACATATCATAAATATTGAAAGTAATTAATAAAATAATCTCTAAGAATATAATTCATCGAATCTAGGTTATATTTTGATGAATCATCCAACTCTTTTCATATAAAAACAATTTCATTGTCAAGGGAAAAGCAGGTCAATTGATCGACAAATTAATTGAGATTTTGGATGATTAGAGATCACTTTTACTTGAACAAACTTACTTTCTATTGAATGCAAATATTGATAAAACAGTAGAGCAAGAAATAATTAAGCGAAAGTTTTCTTTTCATTAATATCTTTAATGTTTCTATTATCACTCATTTCATAATTACAAAAAGCAGCTACATGTACATATATTTTGCAGATGCTCATCAAGCGTATCAAGGAAAAATTGATATTCAAATCGTTTCACGTGGATGATTTGATGAATTCTAGTTTATCCAGTACAAGAACTCGCTCAAGAATCAAATGGTTATCACCATAAATGTACTGGTACTGGTAAAATACATATATGATCGTTAGTAAAAGTAAATAGATAGCTCTTCCTTTCTTTTGTAGATCAGAGACCGCAGTTTCACTTTCTCACTTGATCTCCACAAACGTATGGTTCTGAAAATATTTTAAGGTTTGATAGAAAAACAAATCAATATTTTTTTTACAATTGTCAATTATTGATATCACTTTTTTATCAGTGTAAATCATTTTCCAGCCTTCAAAAATACAAACCTCCCCACCTGTACCTTCATCTAAAGAGAAATGAAAAAACAAGAACAAGAAGAGAGACATATAACTTTCGAAGTAAGATACCAAGAACGTCCATTCGGCCAAGAGACGTATTACCAGTCGTTACCTGGACCGACAAGATCACATTTAATCTTCTTTTCTTCCTTCAACAACATTTTTATCATCTAACAGTCAGATCTAATTACTTCCTTTACACTTTTTTTTTCATTTCCATTCACATATGATACTGATCGTGAATTCTCCTATCCATTTCATCCGATTCCCTCGGATATTTATTACCAAAATTAGTGTTTGTTTGGTTTAAAAACGAAAATGTGTAAACGAAAATAGCCATTCAACAGTTGATTAGTTCAATAATAAATCATTAAATTGAATTTATTTATAAAGTAATTGAAGAGAAATGTACTTTTGGTGTAAATTATTTGTGATTTACGTTATCTTTGATATCACTGAGATCAATGCAAGGATTAAGAATAATCTTCTCATCAGACAACCCAGTAAGTTTCAGTGATTTTTTTTCTATTCAATTTAAAGATCAAATATTCCAGAAAAATCTTTCGTGATCGACTTCCCACGTTTTGTAATAAAGCATTCACAAAAAATGTTCTGGTCAATTGAAAAAAATTATTTTGAATAACTTTAGCTAAATGTCATTAAAGTTTACTAGATTCAATATTTACCCAAATACAAGAATCGTGGGAATCGCTCGCGAAATAGCGCGACAGAATGAATTTTTGAATGGCAGAGTGCGGTCATCCCGCAGTTACTCATCGTCAACCAAGGGCAATTCCGGATCTAAGGAGATTGTTGATGTCCAAAACAACTGGTAGAATATTCAATGGGAAACCTAGTAAACGAGGATCATGGCCATGGCAAGCATCTCTTCAACTGCTGCACCCCAAGCTAGGATTCATTGGCCATTGGTGTGGGGGAGTGTTGGTGGAACCGTCTTGGATCCTTACTGCTGCTCATTGCATTCACAAGTAATCATTTATTGTACAATAAGAAATAATTAATGATAAATATATTTCATTTAAATGATGAATTAACTGCTCTAGTGATTTATTTAACTTGCCAATTGGAGCTTTGTGGACTGCAGTAATTGGGGAGTGGGAATTGGATTCCGGTAATCGTGGGTCAGTTCGAATCCCAGTGGAGCAGGTGATCATTCACGAACAGTTTAATAATTATATTAATGATATTGGTAAGTAGAGATAATGAAAGTAATTTTTTACCTCCCTTTTCATCATTCTGTAACGGTTTTCATTGTTTAGCCCTAATGAAGCTGACCAGGCCAGCTCCACTTTCCAAAGTAATTCGAACGATTTGTCTACCTGAAGAAGAAGAGAAATTCGCTGATACTAATTGTGTTGCTTCCGGTTGGGGTCGATCTGGACCATCTCATTCATTGTCTTCCAGTCTCCTTGAAGCCAATATTCCTCTTTTAAATCTAGACGAGTGTAAAAAGGCTTATGGTAACTCTGTACCACTCCGGAATGGTCATTTATGTGCTGGTCATGTTGATGGCTCTTCTGGAAGCTGTGTGGTAATTTATTCAACTTATTAAAAAAGTTTTATTAATTTTCATCAAACTAACAATTAAATTATAATACTATTAATAATCCAGGGAGACTCGGGTGGTCCACTTCAATGTCGAAAAGGAAATGGAGTTTGGCAATTAACAGGAATTACATCTTTTGGATCCGGTTGTGCAAGACCAGGCTTTCCAGATGTTTATACTCGTGTTCAGCATTATGTTACTTGGATAAGAGACACAATGAATAGCCATACAAATGTTTAATTGATATAATTTTTTTAAATAGTTAAATCTTGATACCTCTTTATTTGTAAATAAATGTATATAAATATTTTTCATATTATTATGCATAAAATATAAGTCAAACTGCCAATTGTAAGACATCGATCGATTGATCATATTTACTTTCCAAAACAATTTTCCAAGTGAAAATTGCAGAGTTTATATACGATAAACTATGTTTAAGCATTATAATCCTAGTTTAAAACCGGCAATCTCTAACTTTCTCGAGCCTATAAGTTTTTAGATGAAAAATTTATATAATAATAATAGTCTTGTTCGATTAGAGAAACAAAATTACCTTTTTTAAAATTCAGAAGCTTTATCGGAAATAGAAAGCTTTAGGTAAAATAGAAATTTATTTCAATGGAGATTTATATTAATTTTTTTATTTTTATTCTTATGTAAATGTATTCTCGTTGAAAAAAAATTCCATACATTTTTAAATGATTTATGTAACCATTACATAATGATATGACTGTCATCAATCAATATTATTAAATTGGATTATCAGTAAGACAAAAGCAAACAGATGGATTATTAAATAGACTAATAGAAAAATAATAAAGTTTTTACAAAATGTGTTGAATAGATTCAGTAGAATAATGTATTGATTTTTGTTACAAGTGTACATAATTAATGTTAATGGATTTTATAGATTGGAGGAAAATTGGGTGTATTGGATCGAGTAAATACATCATTCAAAGTATATGTACTAGTACTAATGAATGTAATAATAGTAAGTTGGAAGTGAAGCACTTACCTCTATCAAACTTTGATTTAACTTTATCATTTTCCAAAAAAATGAAGAGAAAAATTTTTGTTCAATTAATATAATAATTGTTGTTTATTAAGTATATATTATTTATCATTATCATTAATTTAGAATAAATTAAAAATTATTTTCAAAGTTTGAACAATTTAAAGTGTCAGACAACATTAAATTATTTAGCAAATAATTGTAAAAAAGTTTTGATATCCTTAATTGTAAACAGCATTAATTAGGTTTATAATTTAAGAGCCACACAACTGTTATCAACATAAAAACAAAGACAGACATGTTGTCATTTTTATGGGAGTGTGGGTTGAGTAGGTCAGTCTGAAAATTAAATTTTATCATGAATGTATAATTAAATAGCATTTATTTTTAAATTATCAAAAAAGAAAAAAATAGATTACATTACTTACAGAGAAATTGAAGATATTTTGTACATTTTATCCTTGGTATTTTATTTAAATACAAACTTTATGACTTTTAGAAAGTGAAAATGGAATGCAAGTAGCTTTCAAGAAGCTATAAAATAACTAGCAGTACTTAAATAGCTAATCATCTATGCCATTAGTTGATTACAGAACTCTTGGAAAAGGGAGGAAGATCTCACGGGAAATGAAAGTAGGAGTGTCATCAACTATTAGCATGTATAAAAAAATTTGCATCTCTGTAACTCGGGATTTCATACCAGTAAAAAACAATTAATTTTTTTTATCTAAAACAAAAAAATGACATTAGTACCTTAAACAATTTAATTAATGCCACTCTAAGTAAAATAAAACCATACTGATAAAAAATAACCTTACTTTCTGATAAAGTAAATGTGTGAAAATAAATCTCTCGAGTCATACGTTTTTTTCCATTAATTTTACCATAAAACAATGTATGTTTATGCAATTGAGTTTACCTCGAGGGGATGAAAGTGATAAAGCGCATGTCTGTAAAAGTATGCGCGGCAAATTTTAAAATTAATGATCTGCTCATGCGCCAATAAACCTCTACTAAGATACCCTCCATTTTGGTGGGTGGAGATGCATTTGATAGAATAAGAGGGAGAGTGTGCGTTGGTCTTTCTGTCGTTCAGTAGCACACTTTCATTGTGTCTGATTATATTAAGGAAAGTGAACATCAATCGTAAATAAATACACACTAAAAGAGCAGGCTGTTGTGAAGGCAAATAGTTGCTATCAGCTGTAGGATATAAAGAAAGGGTATTTCCTTGAGCCAAGAAAAGACATTGTAAGAGGAAGGAATAAATTGGAGAAAGGAATAAAACCTGAGCCTCTAGGGTGAATCTCTCTCTTTTGCTCTGATAGACTAGATTCTGAAAAGAAAGACTTCCGCCTGGCTTCGTGGGAGTTGAAAGTAAGTTTGATAAATCTTTGCTAACGAGATCAATTTTACGTACCTTTTCTCTTTGCTCTCAATTTCTTGGTTTAATTTAAATCATCCTGAAAGTAATGTAACGGATATTAAGTACAAATAAATCGTGCTGAAGCTTTTAGAAGATTTATTTAAGTGTTATTTCTTGTATGTAATGAATATAATATGAATGTGCACAAAGAAATATCAATACGCATAAATTTTCAGTGAGTTCTACACTCACTCGAGGGCTATTCATGCCACCCAATCGCCGTCAGGTTAACATCGATCGCGCCTTCCTCGGTGCAACGGATTTTATAAATATCTGATTATGTTCTTGTAGATTAAAAAAGATTTTTGATTCCGTAAGATGTTCCAGTTACATCAAAATCACCAGGTTAATTTTATCATACATGATTTCTTTTTTTTTCTCTCTTTTCTTGCAATTAAAAATAGCCAATTAATTATAGAAATTATTTTTACGATCATATGAAAAAGAAAGAAAAAAATACACTTGAAATTATTTTCAAACGTTTAGTTTTAGAAACAGTAACTATCAAGACCCACGTGGTTGTTCAAATTGATTCTATATTCATCACATTTGTGTTAAAAGTAAACTTAACTAGAAATTCTTAAACAGTATGTACTTGAAACTTATCATATAGTAGGTGATTCATGACGACAAAAAAATCGATGCCGAGTATCTGGAGACCGCAATACTATCACATGTATAACATTTTATAAACATCCGGTATTATTCTGTACATGATTCTTATTCAGACCTTTTCAATTACTCCGTTTTAACAATAAGATAATAATCATGATATGTATTTTAAAAAGAGACTTTAATATAAATAAATTAATCAATGTTTTATTTGTTAGGAGCCAAGAAATGGAAGCAGAAGCAATAACAATTGCAGCTCCTCCTGCAATTCATCTTGGGCCTATTGTAAATCCAGTTTCCAATGAAACGATATCAATTGTTATTCCTCTATCAGCACAGCTAGCAACTGTTGCAAAAGCTACCATTGATCCTTTCATCGATGCCAATAATTCGAAATCAGAATTATCAAGTTCTGAATCATCAGTACAAGTAGAAGTTTTCAATGAACTTAATCAAATAAATACATCTACAATTATTCAGCCAGCGGTGACAGAAAAATCAAACTTTGCGATGATGATTCAAAAAGCAGATAAAACAAAGGGATGCCCATTTCCAACTTGTTCTAGATATGGTCGTGCTTTCTCTAGAGCTCATGATTTAAAAAGACACATTGCAAGGCATGAAACTAGAAAAGAACGTCTATGTGAACCTAAACCCTCAGATGTACGCACCTGTAACCATTGCGGAGAAAGCTTTCTTAATGATGTGATCCTTCAACGTCATATGAGCATTCATGCAACACCTACGGTGGTCGTTGAAGCTAGTAGTAGTGAAGGACAATATTTTTGTTATGTTTGTAAAGAAAAGTATCCTCAATTGAGCCAATTATCGGCTCACATTGCTACTCATAGCAAGGTATGTTGAAATTATGATTTAAATTAGCTAAAAATATTCAGTTTCAAGCTTTATATCATGTGGCTTCTTTATTTTACAGGAATCACGAGGAAATGTCTGTGCTTTTTGTGGAATTCAATGTGAAAATGACGATATCCTAAACAATCATATGAAGGAACATGTATCAAGTGTTGAAAAACAAGAAATAATAGAAACAACTATTTCACCTATTCAAGTAAAAATTGAAGATGATGGTGATGATTTTTTACTTGAAGAAATGCTTTTAATAAATAAAAATTCCCGTGTTACTTCACAAAAAACAAATTCAATATCATCATCAACTGGAAAAATACGTTGCGATTATTGTTCAAAGACATTTAAAACTAAATGGACACTTAGTTCTCATGTTGCAGCTCATGAAGGTCGATTTCAATTTGGTTGTAATCGTTGTGGAAAAAAATTTGTTAGAAAAAGTCATTATGATGGACATGTACGATCGCATGATGCTGCGAGGCCTTATGTTTGTGATCAGTGTGGTAAAACATTTAAAGAATTAAAACATCGACGTGAACATACAAAGCGTAAACATTCAGGAAATCAAATTGCTATACAAAATCTATTGGATAGTATCAGTGCTTGTGTTGCTGAAGAAGCATCAATGGAGCAAGCTAAGCTCACTCTTCTCATGCCAATGAATTTTACTACGTAAATCGTACCAAAAAAAAAACCGAATTAATTAAATGTTTGATTGATATAAACACATTGTGTGATGATAAATAATAATAATATATTTCTCAATAATTATTAAGAAAAAAAAATTGTATACTAAAAATGCTAACGCCTTTTTTTCCATGTCTAATCTAAGGGTTTATATGTTTATTATCAAAGTGGTTTTAAATATTATATCATAACAGCACGAATGTTGCTGAAATCGTTGGTTGTATTGTGACATATTGAGTGTCATCTTTTATTCCGTTAAAATAACCACAATTGACATTTTAACTTTTACTGAACTTTTATCTGCACAAATTATTATTTTATCGATGCATGAAAGTATATTAATCATCATCATAACCGTGTTCTTCATTAGAGCTCGGTAATACGAAAAAATTCAAAGATTATTCATTCGAATACCTTCATAAAATATTTGAGTGAGTCAAGAGGTTTTTGATTAGCAAGGATTATCTAAAAAAGATATCAACGATTGACAAGTCCTTTTTATTTTTAAATGAGTGCGCTTAAACGACGCAAAACTACATCAATATGTTGGGAAGTCAAGGATGGATTGAGAACGAGATCGAAGGCTTATATTGTAGACATTCTACCATCAGAGATTCAGGAAATGATTTTCAAATTTTTACCGCTTCAAATGATTGCCACAAATATTCGCCTCGTATCCAGGTATTTTATATCAAGCATATGAAGTATAGCTATATTCTTTGTATAAAATTAAATTTCCACTATATAGACAATGGCTGACGGTAGCATCAACAGTTTTGAACGGAGCTTTTTACTCGGCCGGTTGTCGTCTGAACACCATACTAGATCAAACGAATTCAAAGATAGCAGAGCTGGAAAATATGACAGAACTTCAAAACAACATGAGAACATTAAACATTCTAGAGCTAATCCAAGCTCAATACAAGATGTTGAGAGCAGTGACCTGGCGTTACACTCATCCACCACGACCACAAAAATTTCAAAGACTTTGCTTCTATGCCGGGAGTCTCCTCGACGAGTTGAACAATCTCCTGTACCTGGCATCAACTCAACCTGCAGCTCTTTACAGTCCCGATGGTCCAAGTGTCAGAGTCGAGAAGTTCTTCGGCCTTTGCAAACATTTCATGAATTATTTCGAGAGGGTCTCGGAACGGAAAGTAAACAGGTAGACTCAAAAGCCTTACACTAAATTCAAAGTTAAATATTTTAGTCATAAACTATTTGTTTTATATTGAAAGATCAGTCCTGGTGTCCGGTTGCAAAGTCGTCGACATTCTAGACTGTCTTGGAGAGGGTCGTCAGGTTCTAGCGTTTCGTCTGACAACTGGTCGAGGCCACCGAGGAAACGTCTTGTGTATGCGGATACGTTATGTGATGCAGAGAACTTGGCTCACACGTCTAAAAGTCCCTCGAGTGGCAAACGAAACATCTTGGAGAGATAAACAGAGATTTATGTATATGAGATTACGAAGAATTGTGCAGAATGTCAATGATCATCATTACGAGGATCTCCATTACGAAAGAGGACTAACAGCTCTTCAAAAAACAACATATGATAATTCAACATCACTTCCAATGCCGAAATTACCCACTCCATCGTTATATTCTGGATACGGCGAGTATGGAGATGAATTCTTTTACTACGGTAATATGAACAAGCGCGCTTATGCAAATAAATTCAACAAATTTTTTGATTCCGACGATTATCATGAAAATTCTTCAACATCAACAAAAGAAACACCACCATTTAGTCTTATTATTTGCGTTGAATTACGCTGTTCACCTGAATTAGCACCATTGGCTGTTAGACCTATACTCAATAGTGACGACCTTGATAATCAAACTTTATCACATAATCCAGAATTTTATCTTAAAATGGAAATTACTTGTCCTGCATCACTTAAAAATAAATTACCTGGACACTTCATCTGGGAACAACGGACACCTAGACATTATCCTAGTACCTTATGATCTCTTATTCTATATATGAACAATCGAGCAATGGATTAATATCCATTGACGTTTGTTATTGTTGGATTTATATATTCTTGTATGTCGTATATTCATTTTTATCTTATTTATTAACAATTGTGGAGAAAGTTAAAGCTAAGGAAAAGAGAGAAGTGATGATAAGAGTACAATTTTTTCTGATTTTTGTGAAGATTCATATTTTTTGTGATCATCTGTACCCAATGATTATTCGTCAATAAGACATAAAGAAAAGAAAAAGTGGAATTATAATAAAAATTATTATACTATGTCTTAATTTAATTATTCTTTATTATTAAAATAGTAAAACAACAATTGATTAGTTAGAAGCTATTGCCATTTTTTCCTCAACATCAGCTTCAATTCGTTGAGGCATCCATGTATTTTGGTTGAGTTTTTTAGATCGTTCCTCTAACATACTATAAATAAAATGATTAACCATGATTCCTTTAGGTAGAGCTATACCTTGAAATCTATAAAGATTTTCACCAGCATCAGTTTGAACTTTATGAACAGCTGATATCGTGCAACGACCCATGAGAAATGTGTTTCCTACCATAGGACCTCTGCTGATATCAATATGATCTCTGATTTTATACAGAGTAATTTTATTTTCATTATTTTTAGCAATTTGAGGAATTTGGATTGTTTTAAATGGGTTATCCTTAAACATCTCCAGAGCTAAATTTTCATCGACTTCTAGACGTTCAACCGGTAATTCATCATTAATTAATTTAGCAAATTCTGCGGAAAGAACTTTAAGTTCTGCTGCTGTAGGCTTCCAATCTTCCAACTCCACAAAGGCATCATGAGTAAAACTACCAGATTTAACATTAGGTACTGGAAAACTATGTAAATGACAAGTAACGTTATCTTTAAAAGCTGAATCAATGACTGCACCAAGCATGAAGGAACAAGTTCTCCAAAAAGCGTTATTTACTGCTCTATTAGCCGGTGTTTTCATTGTGTATAACTGAAGACGACAATCAGATGTAAGAGGTTTATGAAGATCCCAGGTGGTATCATCAACACTTGCAAGTGCTGAGAATTTTGCTACACCTTCAGAAATGTGTTTCGCACAGTCGTGAGGTGTTGATAGATTTTTGTTCATTAACATAATTATTTCATCTTCATAATTTTGATAAGTAACGTTAATTTTTTCGACTCTTCCAATTGATGAACGTTGTCTACTTTTCTCTTTTTCAAACAATTCATTTCGGTTGGCCTTAGCTTCTGATTTCGACAATGAACTTATACATCTTGAATAAATTGGATTGTTATACTTAAAAGTTATGGTAACCAATGATTTATACCTAGACAAAAATAATTTCAAACTCAATACCTAGTTAATCTATACATTTATTACTTTAATTAATTAGCAGTTATTAAAAAATTGGCAAGAAAGGTATAACCTAAAGATATAAATATTAATATTTACAAAAGAGATATTAATATTAGCAATGTTATACATACCCTTGCATTGTGAGAGCTAAATGTGTGTGTCTAAATATTGTTTATTATTGTTTATTATTAAAATTATTGCATAATTCACTTGTCACCGGAAAATAATTGTCACTTTGTTATTAGTTTAAATCATTTCTGCAACAATACAAAATCAGAATAAGAATAAAGCTTAGGTTATACTGTGAAAGATACGATTCGTAAACTTATGAAATAGTGACAATTAAAATTATTCGCAAGTAATATTAGAAATAAATCATGTGAATAATTTTTTTATTTTTAGATTCTTAAGTTATGATAAATATCACTTCAATCTTACATTCATTTATAAATATTAATTCTTCGTCTTAATTTCACCGAAAAAACACAATGTTTCGGAGCACACATGTACGATTAACACACACACACACAAACTGTTTAGTATCTAACGAACAAATAGTCGATAAAGTAACATTCACATGATAATCAACTATGCATAATAAACATGGAACGGATTAAAATTCAAATAAGTTATTGAATATCGTACAATTAACATCAAAAATTAATAAAATTTATATATTATTTTACTGGATGTTATTAATTATTATTATTTATAAGAAAATTTTGTCTAGAATGAGGTTATGTTTGTAATTTTTCTGAATGTTCTATTGATGTAATATTGATAGGAATTTTGGTTTTTGGCTGTTTTGTATGTTAGTCCTGATAAAATTTCCTTTAATTTAAAGCCTATCGCGTCTTCCTTGAATACAAACATTTACGAAATGCTGTGTCACTCAACGTAACATTTCAATAAGAATCAAATGTTTTTTTTAATAATTAATAAAACAATCATAAATTCGAGTAAAATAAGTTGAGTATTTTTGTAAAAGATTTGTTGTCTGTGTGATTTTACTGTGAATCAATAATTTCGTGAAAAAAGTGTGGTTACAAAAATGTTTATGTTTTGTATTGATCAATAATATTTATAATTAAATTCATAAATATATTTTTAATTACAACGATTGTAGTTACTTGTTAATGCTTAGTTACTAGCATCAGCTAGATGCATTAAGAATTTATTGATAACAGTTTTTATAGATTATCTATTTGATAAAGAATTTTTTTTAAATTCCATACGTTGATATTTATTTTATCATTCGATAGATTAAAGTTTATTATACAGTAACTGGAAAATAGTACTACAGCACTAATTTTGAAATGTTGTTTTCAAAAAGACGTTCATATAAATATTTAATTGAAATTTTACTTGCTATTATATTCACATTTATTTTTTGTGAATATCTCATTTACTATGTGACTCTTGTTCAGGTATGATATATAAAAAATATATAATTATCCTTATTATTCAGTGAAGTAATTAAGAATTGTTTTAAAGTGTTCATGGCCAACTCTTCAACCCCATAAAGCTGATCATTCAATTACACCACCAAGTCCAGAAGAAACTCCAGTGAAGGTGATGTTTATCGCTGATACACATTTACTAGGATCTCGGAATGGACATTGGCTTGATAAACTTCGACGGTAAACATTTAAAAATTTTGTTGAATTATAGATACATGAATTTGTACTTCTAGAATTTTAAGTTAACTTATTTGATATATATACCCTTTTTTAGAGAATGGCAAATGTATAGAGCATTCCAGACTGCAATAAATCTACACAGGCCAGAAGTTATTTTCGTTTTAGGTTTGTATCTCTGTTGATACTCATTTTTAATTTTGGTTTACATAATATTTTTCTTTAAAGCAATTTTAATAGTTAATTCCAACCATTTCAATGTTCCCAAAACACTAATCTTTTACTTATTACATTTTTATAAATTAAAGTTTATCAATAAAATAATGAAGCCAATTTCTTAAAAAACATTTTGATAAAAATTTCGTGTTTATAATAGCTTGAATTCATATCATTCTTTCAGGAGATTTATTCGATGAAGGCCTCTGGTGTGGATCTGCTGAATTCGATGCCTATGTTCAAAGATTTAATTCACTTTTTGCTGTACCAAAAGACTCTCATCTCTATGTTGTTGCAGGCAATCATGATATGGGCTTTCACTATGGTATAATAAACTTTCAATAATCAATCCTCCTGCATAGTAAGATAAAACTTTTAATCTTGTAATAATTATTTTATTCTTAGTGATAACACCATATTTGAACCAACGGTTTGTCGATGGAATGAAAGCACCGAATGTGAGGAGAGTAAGCATTCGAGGAAATCATTTTGTTCTTATCAATAGTATGGCATTAGAAGGCGATGGATGTTTTCTTTGTCGGCCTACTGAAATAGCGTTAAATAAAATTTCAAGTAATTTTTTTTTTATTTTATAAAATAATAGTAACAATAATAATAACAATTATAATTATAATTTATTTTTATTTCAGAACATTTAAAATGTGCTAAAGGTGTAGGTACTGGGTGTAGTAAACCTAATGTAATTAAACGATATAGCCGGCCTATTATATTACAAGTATTTATTATTATTATAATTATTTATTAAAAGCAATAATACCATTCTTGCTTGAGTAATCTTATTGTTTTAATAAACAAAAACCCATGTTATTTTTTACAAATAACATTTTATTTATTTAATAATCATATAATAGATATGCAGAAAAATATCTTTTTCTCATAATTATTTACCTGAAATAATGTGTTTAGTAAAAAAAAAGTGTATTACCTGAGCAAGAATATACAATTAATTGTTATTTCAAAAAATTTAATTAATTTTGTAGCATTATCCTATGTATCGAGAATCAGATTCGATGTGTACAGAGTTAGATCGAGCACCAGATGATATAAAAGACATTAAATTTCGTGAGAGATGGGAATGTTTATCAAAGGAAACTTCTGTACAGGTATTTACTTGAATTTATTTCATTGTTATTTAGAGAATGAGAGACTAACTAATGTTTTTTTTTCAAATTATTATTATGTTATAATTAAAGCTTTTAGATTCTTTCAATCCAAGGTTGATTGTTGATGGCCACACTCATCATGGTTGTAGAAGAATTCATGGAAAAGACACGTTAGAAATAACACTTCCATCTTTCAGTTGGAGAAATAAAAATAATCCTTCATTTTTAATGGTAAAACACATTAATGCCTTTTATTGTTTATTATTTATTCTTTAATATTATTGTTTAATCCTATTTATTCTTAATTACTATTTTTTTTGCAGGGAGTGTTTACCCCAGATAATTATGTTGTATCAAAATGTTATATGCCAGTCGAAACTACAGTTATTTTTATTTATATTATGAGTGGAGTGTGCATTATAATTTATCTAGTGTTACGAACGAAACAACGACTAAACCGTAATAATTTTTTGAAACTCCATTGAAATTTTATACTTGCCATTATTTATTTATTTATTTATTTATGTATTTTAAATAATTACATAGGCCCGACAGTCTAAGCCAAATTAAGGCCTCAGACATCAAGCAAGATACAAAAGTTGAAAAAGATTTGTAGATAATTGAAATAGAACATAAAACACGATGTGAAGGTCTAGCTATCGCAAACAGCAAAAAATCTTGAACAGGAACATTACCATTAAAAGCATCATTCAAAGTATTTACAAGCTCTGTTAGATTATTAGATGAGACTGGAAAGTGCTTCTGCTTCCATGAGATACAATCTGGAGATACCGATAGTGGACCCAAAACCGTCACAATTGCCATTATATTTTTACAATTTTCCTAAAACTATTTTCTATTCTGTGATGATAGTTTTAATTATAGCAATATTATCAATACAAATAATTATTATCATCATTATTATTGTAATGATGTTACCATGTAATAAGATTTTTTTTTTATTCAAATATTCGTAACAAAGCCTATTAAAATTTCTGATGAATTATGAATGAGTATTAAATATAAATATGTATGTGTATATTTCTAACAATTTTCTACACTTTATAATGCTTTTATAAAAAGAATGCTTGAAAATACAGATAAATAATTGTTAATATTTATACAATCGTATAAGTATTTTTAACAAAACTTGATTGTTATAGACAGCTTTTGCCTTATGTAAACAATATTTAATTATAATTATTACATTTATTTATAAATAAGCATTTATTATGTTTAAATTCTTATTATTGTGTGCTAAAAATATGGAATTGCGATAATAATGTCTAAAAAAATTCAAGAAAATAGTGAATGCTCGGGGAAAAATGACTATGTACAAACTGCGAATGAATTTATCGCTTAAAACACGTCATCGAAAGTTCAAAATTGATCGATGGCTTAATGTACATACACACACATTTATACATTTGAAAAATTATTAAAACGAATTTTTACATCGAAATAAAAACTTGCCTAATAAGTTTTGATTATTGTTTAAGTTAGAATAATTGCTCTAGATACTAAAGGAAGTTAAGAATTTTTTCTGAATTAAAATAAAAATAAAACTTTTGTATTAATAATGTTTTTTATCTTATTTTTAATATTTATTTTAGTTCATGAAGTGTACAATAGTTAAATCTAACAATAGTTTCATTAATTTTTGAATAAAGTAAAATAAACACTTCAGAATAAAATACTTCATATCGAATACTAGTATCTAGTGAAATGATATATTCATGATCACAAATTCATCATAAGGACTTAATCTATAAAAAAAAAAACGTACATTGCTTAAAAGTTAGATAAAAAATTGATTAAATCATATTTTTGATGGAAAAAAAGTCATCTGTATTGATATGGAAATTTATATTTTATATTATTACAAATGTAATATAAAAAAACTTAATATAAAATCAATTTTATATTAAGTTTTTTATATCTCAGACAGCGAAAAAAATTTTAAGTACTAATTATAAATTTCGATTTTTTTACTTATCAAAAATAATGACTCTTTTATTCTGTTACTTATATTATTATTCAGTGGAAAATTCAAAATATTCTTCCTAACTTAATAACATAAATATAAATATATTAGAGTAATTACTATATCGTGTAAAAATAACATTAAATGATAATTTAAAATTTACTTTGTATGTTATAATTTCAATTGTTTTTATTTGTATATACCATCAATAATTATAAGTTTGAAAGCTAATAAAAAATGCCTTGAATTATTTTACAATACTATTGAAAAAAATATGAGGAAATGTTGTAATTTTTTTTTATTATTATCATATAAATTCGACTAGTCAATTTTTACAGCTGCGTAAATTTTACGAATAAACGCATAGGCTGCGAAGAACCCAATTGTTCCGGTTAATAACCAAAATGTGAGCACCATAAGTCCTGTGTAACTGAAGTACATTAATGTTGGCACTAATTCAGATATTTCTAATTTTGTCATAAAATAGAAAACCGAGTAAGCTAATACGTAAACAGCTGAACCGCCACTAACAATAAAACTTCTCCACCACCACCTGTAATCCTAGAAAATAAAATTTTAATTTACCAATTATGTAAGAAATAATTTGATGTATAAAAAATTAATTGAATAAGATTACTTACTTCTCCACACAATTGAAAGTAAACCATGACAATTGATATTTGTGAACAAGAAATAACAAGTATACAAAACACAAGAAATAGGAAACCAAATAAATAATAAAATCGATTTTCCCAAAATGCAGTCAAGATAAAAAATAGTTCAATAAAAACTGCTCCGAATGGTAGAATTCCTGCCATTAATGTGCTAAAATAATAATAAATCATTAATTATAAACATGTTAGTGAATAATTATTATAGTAATTAATATAATATAATATTAAAATTGTTGATAAAGATCGATAGTTGAAAAACAAAAATTTAATCTTACCATAAAACTGGATTTAAATACCACACTTGATCAGGAACTTGTCTTGGTATTTGATTAGTTCGTACTGGATGGGTAAATGCTTGTTTTCTGTATCCAAAAAAGTATCCAAGGTAAACGAGAGGAAGAGAAATGCCAAACCAAAGACATAAAAGTGATAACATAGTAGTGAAAGGTACTGCTCCGGAACTATGTTTTCCCCAGATGAAGAAATTCAAAAAAAAGCATGTTCCAAATACTATTCCAGGATAAAATGTTGCTGTTAGTAAGGCTGCACGTTTCCATTGTCTTCCACGAATTGTTTTGTATAAACGTGCAGAAAAATAACCCGCAATTAATCCAGATACTGCGTAGAAAAAAATCGCACCCGTTGCTAAAGCTCCTCTGCTTGCAGGAGAAAGCATCCCCAGCATAGCAAAAACTAAAAACAATTAAGTAATTATGTTTAATTTATAATTATGATTATAAATTGATATTATGCTAATTGATTCATTCGTTAGTTTTAATGGAATTTTTGATATTTAACAAAAGTTGGCAGCTTTTCGATATTATTTTCCGCCACCAACAGCCTGCTTTTAATATAAATATGCAATTATTTAATGCCTTTATTAATTATTATACACTTAAGGACTCAGTAATGAAGTAATTACAATAGCTTTCTAATTGAATATCTCTAGTAAGGCATAACTATTACTGTTAGCATGAATACTAAGAAGTTGATCATGAAAATTTTTGGAGTCTTATCCACATTATTATTTCATTGTTTTCAAAAGTAGTTAAATAAATGATTTGGTATCTTACATATTGTTATAAGAGCCATGAAAAATATTTGAATTCCACTGCCAATAACTGCAGCAAACAATCTTGAATTTGTTGGTGGTCTAAAAACATCACCATGAACTAACTTCCATCCACTTTCTTCAATTGATTCATCAAGTCCAGCTAAACTCTCACTTTCTCCGGCATTATAACGTGCTATATCTCTTCTAAGTGTTCTTACCATGATCATAGTAAGAATACCTGTAACACAACGGATTTTATAATTGTATTCACTTTTCAGTAAATTGATTTTTTAAACAAACACTTTCTTTACCAGATAAAAAGAAAACCACAACAAGTGAGTTGATAATTGAAAACCAATGAATTTCAACATCATTAATTCCTAAATAAACATCCCATCTGCTAGCCCAGCTAATATCTGATTGTTTCCATTCCACTGAGTATAAAAACAATAAATTCGTTCCTGTTGGACTGACGTATTGAGGTGAAGCGTCGTTAGGCGCTTGACATTTATTTCCGTCGAATTCTACTTCTTTATAATTTACTGATCGAGCATCAACTTCAAAGCCAATTACCCGAAATTGGTTCCTGAAATTTTTTAATTCATTATTGTTGATTATATTATTGTTTGTATTTTTAGTTTTTAAATAATGATAAATGAATTAAAAGTTTGTAACAAATTTTTATGATGTAGGTAAAATTAGAAGTGTTTTAAATAATGCAATTATAATAAGCTCGAATAATATTCGAATATTTTCATTGAAGAGTAAATGAAAATATGTAAGACATGAAGTAGAAGTAAATAGCACTTGATAAAGACGAAATAATAATCAAAATTAAATTAAATTGGATAAATCAAAGTATTTGGATCGAAGGACATTTCAATTTAAAAACAAATTAATTACAATAATAATATACCAGTTTTTAAAAAATGATATAAAATTATTATTAATAAAATGTTGATGAAATGTATAAATTGGTCTCACTTTCATGAAACTACTTTGTACCAAATAGCCCTTATTTAATTTCATTTCTACCTATTTACTCTTTTGTTGCATTCTGACGATAAAAATTATCATTATTGACCAACAATCTGTATTCTTACACTTTAATCTCACGTTAAATTTCTGCAGTAATAAAATAATCGTTTAAAAATGAAAATACAAGTCATTTATTCCACGTTTTTTTTGTTAATAGTGATAATTGTAATTGCTACAATGCAACAAAAGAGCAAGTAGAGACTGAATTCAAAAAAGCTATGTAATGAGAATTAATCCAATTTAAAATAATATTCATAATAATAATAATCATACTTACTCTCCATGCTTATGATAACTTAATTTAAGTGTTAGTAAATTATTTATAAAATATTGGCCATCTTTAAAACCTCCTAATCGATATCCATAATAAACTATTGTGGTATCGTCCTTATGTGTCTTCTTTGTTGCTGCTGGTAAATTATCTATTAACCTGAACAAGAAGAAAGTATTAATAAATAATTAAGATTTGATTAAATTTGGGAAAAACAAATTTTTTGTGCAATATAAAAGAAAGTTCATAAATAAATAGAAACGATTTAAAAGATTAACAAATTTTCAAATGATAAGATAAATACTAATTGCATACACTATTAATTATTGATAAAAGGAAAAACATGACTTTAAAATTGAAGTTATATATTACAATTGAAAATATTGCTTGAATATTAAATATTTGATTGTATTAATTCCGTAAGCTACTTAATAAAATTCTAATATGCACGATATTAACAATATCAAGGTGTTCATAAACTAAAAATAGAATGTAGATGTTTTATACATCTGATAAAATTAATATAAAACTTACAAATGAACGGTATATTCATGCTGTATTCGTTCTATAACTGTCTTTGATGTTTTTTCGTCCCAAGTCATTGGATTTTTGGGTGAATGACAAAGTAATCTACAGCTTATATCCTCACCCATAGCTACTTCGTAAGGTGTATTTACAATTCTGTAAAAAATTATCAAAATTACTCCAAATTCAGGAAAAGAGGTTTTATAACCTACTTAATTGCTGCTTGCTTATCAACTATTATGCTTATTTAATGCAAAATAATAAAAAATAACTTACCGATCACCTCGAAGAATTTCACCCAAATTTTCTGACATGTAAATATAAGTTCCATTTTTGGGTCTACAAAAATCCAAAGAATAATACTCATATGGTAGTTGAGTATGAGTACTAGTCATTTTTACAGCCTTTACATCTATTTTTTGGCCTTTCTTGAATTCGACTGGAGCTACTCCAGGAACATAGAAGGCTCTTATCTCCAAAGTAAACAACAGTAACACAATCACACTCCATGTCAATTTTTCCTAAAAATGATCCATAAAAAGGATAAAATAAATTTGTAATTATTTTTACAGAAGTTTAATTCTACTTAATATTCAATAAATTGCAATTAATCTTGATGTTTTATGACTTTTTACATCATATATTCTCAAAATCATATAGGTTAATTGTGGTTGGAAACCTTCGATAAAATAAAATAGGGAGTTAAATTTATAATTATTAACAAACATCCATAGGGAAAAAAGGTTTTTTTTATGACAGAATAATTTTAGTAATAATTGAGAGGAATTGTTCTGAATATTTACCATGCTGTGACGTTAATTCTAGATGAAATCGCGCCACGCTGATGATTACTTATGTGTATATGATGTACATTCAGTCCAATTTACACCCACAATACTCAAGAAAGCTATGCATAACAAAAAAAATACAATAATAGAAACTTGTATTGCTTGTATAAAAGTTGATTGTTACGGACTGAAGTTGTCGTTACAATACTGTCGTCCAACTATCCATCGAACTGACGCACGAATCTTCCTAAATCTCTGTGAATGTGTACATAGATGTAATTACACGAACGTGACAATACAGATTACCAAGCCAACTTTTTATATACTTTACAGAACTGTGATAAAAAATAGAACTTTCCGTATCAGAAGTAAAGAGGACTTTCTGCTGTTATTAGTGATGGTAATGTGTAATGACGCTCCGTCGATAACATCGGCATGCACTTTGCATGACCGATAGTCAATCATTTTTCTTGCTAGCATGTTAATAGTGCGGCAAAATTTTGATATTCATTCTACTGAGAAACATGTCCTAAATTATTCAAGGGGAGATATTTTAATTACTCAAGTGACATTTAAAAATCATCAAATAGTTTTTTGCGGAGTTTTTTTTAGTGGAATTAATGTATTTTATTCTATACTGCATGTATAAGAGATCATATAGGAATAAATTTTTTATATTTATGAAGAAAAAAATTATTTTAAAGTAAAGACAGAGAATCAATAAATAAATAAATATAATTTATATAATATATATAAATTTATTTATCAGATTAAAAGGTCTAAGAATACAACTATCGAAAAGGAGAAATAAAGAGTTTGTTTATGAATTGTATTTATTTATTTAAAAAAATACATAAGTAATTTTTATAATTGAAAAATAATGTGATATCACATTATAAAAAACAATAGTAATAAAATATTGTAATTTCTTAATAGTAAAAAAAAAAGCTAATGAACGTGATTTTTCATCATAGTTTTTGTATTTATTTTTATAATAAATTATTTTAATTATTTTAATAATAAACTTTTTTTATCAAAAAGTATTTGTTCATGATATTTTTTGATATATTTTATCTTAAATTTTTGTTCACAAAACAAAAAAAAAATACTTTTTTTCAATAATGTATAAATTATCTTAATAATTTATAAGTCTCTTTTTTCAACAAAATTTATAAGCAAAAAAATAAACTTAGATATTTTTAACTAATAAAATGAAATAAAGATAAAATCAATTCAATGATCAACATTTCATTATCTTCTTTGATTTTATCAAAACTGATTAATAAAAAAATTAAGTATAAAATATGCATATAAACTCAATATTATTAATCTAGAATTATCAAGATAACTTTAAGTATACTTTATATCTTCTAACTGTCAATAATTTTTAAATTTGAATGGTTTTTAATTTTGTCCACATAAAATTTGTCTTTGAGCTTCACGTAAATGACATTTTAAAAAATAACAGTAAATAGGAAACATAGTTTGAAGTTCATCTGATTGTATAGCTTTAACTATAGAATTATTTAGTGTAAAATTCACTACAGTGCAAGGATTTTCGCTCAAAAAATTATAATAAGTTGCGTGATTTTGAGGAAATTTGGTTTTCTTCATTAACTCAATCTCTTCACGACAATCATTTTCAAAACTTTTGAAATATTCCAACTGCTTTTTATTATATACTTTATAGATTTTATCTAACAAGCTTGGATGAACGGATAACTCTAACACTTTCATTTTAATTATATGTTGTGTGAATAACATAATTATGTCCTTCTTTAAACAATCCTGAGAGGAATTATCGTCTTGTACAAGTAAACCATCAATTGGAGAATTACCATTCTTATTTAAAATATTGATATCAGCTCCAACATTTAAGAGAGGTTCACACATAAACAAAAAATTATTTTCTATGGCATAATGTAAAGGTGTTTTACCATCTTCATCAGCACAATTCACAGATATATCTTCTTCAAAAAGAATATTCAGAGTATTTTTAACATATTCTTTTAGGTTGTCATAACGTAATGAAACTCGATTCAAATTTGTCATACATGCATAGTGAAATACGGTTCTATCATGCTTATCTCTCATGTTAGAATCGGCTCCTTTTCTGATAAGATATTGAATTATTTCTGTATTTTTGACAAAACAAGCTAAATGTAGCAAACTTGTAAAATCATTATCGATTGAATTGATGTTAGCCTTATGATCAAGGAGAATTTTCATGGATTCAAAAGATGGTACATAGTCATTTTCCCAAGCAATTGTCGAATGCAGAGGAGTTTTTCCCTCAAAATCTTCAATATTAATAACAGCATATGCTTCTAAAAGGCATTTTAGAGTATCAACATTATTATTCAAAACTGCATAATGAACTGCTGTCTTGCCTAAAACGTCTTTGGCATCAATATCGTTTGTTAAATTTAGAATAGATTTGATGATCTTTACTGTCATGTTAGGCTTTTCTGATGCTAAGTGTAAAGCAGTTTTCTCTAATTCATCCTTCAAATTTACATCCATTCCATTGCATAGAAGTAATTCAATAATAGGCAAACATTCTGACTGTATTGCTAAATGTAGAGCAGTTCTTCTTGATTCATCTTGCAAGTTTACATTTACTGTGTAATATAGAATTAATTCAAATACTGGTAAACATTCTGGCTTTACTGCTAAATGTAAAGCAATTTTTCCTGATTCATCTTTTCGGTTTACATCTGCTTGATTCTCGAGTAGAAATTCAATGATAGGTATAGATGCTGATATTATTGCTAAATGTAAGGCAGTGTTTCCTGATTCATCTTGCAAGTTTACATCTACTGTGTAATGTAGAATTAATTCAAATACTGGTAAACATCCTAACTCTGCAGCTAAATGTAAAACAGTTTTTCCTGATGCATCTTTTCGGTTTACATCTGCTCTGTTTGCTATGAGTAATTTGATAATATCTAAACAATTTGATTTTATTGCTAGATGTAGGGCAGTTTTTGCTGATGCATCTCCTAGGTTTACATCTGCTCCATTTTCTAGAAGTAATTGAGCAAGATCATAATGTACTGAATTTATTGCAATATGTAAAGCAGTTTTACCAGATTCATCTTGTAGGTTTACATTTGCTCTATTTTCTATAAGTAATTTAGTAATTCCTAAATTTCCGGAATATGCTGCTAAATGTAGCGCAGCATTCCCTGATACATCTTTTAAATTTATATCTCCTCCATTTTCTAAAATGAATTTAATAATGGGGGTAGCTGCTGAATTCACTGCTAAGTGTAGATACGTTTTTAATTCTCTTCTTAAATCCCTATCATTTATATTGTTTAAAAATTCAATAATAGACAAATTCTGAGATTCAATTGCCCTCTCCAATATTTCTTTGCTGGGGATATTACTTCTATCAATTTTAGAATTACTCAATATTAACTCAATAGCACGATAGTTTTTATTAATAACTGCTAGCTGAAGTGCAGTGTTGTTTTTTTTATTAACAGCGTTAATATCAATATTTCTATCCAAAAGGATTTGAATACATTCATTTCCACTGTGCTGACAAGCCAGATGAAGTAAAGTACTACGTGAATTAGTTAGAATGTTTATATTAGCTCTACGTGTTAATAAAGCTTTTACACATTCAACATCATCATTAATCACAGCATGTTGAAGAGGAGTGCGTTCATGTAAACCTCGACGATTTATTTCAACTCCTTTTTCCAAAAGAACATCAATAATCTTCATATACGTTTCTTTGTATACAACCTTAGGTTCATGATGAAATGATTTTTCACTGAGATAAAAAATTGCATTTGATATATCAACATCTGCATCATATTCCAAAAAAACTTCAATGAGATCCAAATTTTTTTGTTGTACAGCAAGCTGAAATGGCGTACAGTGATGCGAATCTTTAATTTTATAATCTGCTTTGATTTTAAAAAAAAAATCAACAGCTTCTACATTTCCTGCAATAACAGCATAAAACAATGGACTCTGTCCAGACAAATCTGTCTCGTTAATTTTTGCACTTTTTTTACCAAGACTCATTAATACTTGAGAATTATTTCTTCTCGCTGCAAAGTGAAACGGTACTTGTAATTTGTCGGTGAGAGCATTTACATCTGCACCATGATTTATCAGCAGATCCACAATATTAGGCATGTCTAAGTCAACAGCAACATGAAGTGGCGTTAAACCTTCCTTATTTCTAGCTTCAATATCTAACTTGTGATCAAGAAGAGCTTCAATCATATATCTATCGTTTCTTTTCACTGCATGATGAAGTAGTGTGCCAAAGTCATTAAATGGATGAATTACAAGCTGTCGTGATGAATTTTTCATATCAGTTTCCAATAGTATTGCTAGAATATCTGTATATTGATTTTCTATTGCTTTATCCAATAAATAATAGCAATTATTTTCGTTCTCTATATTTATGTTAAAAATATCCCAATTACTATCGAATACATCTTCATGACCATTAGTTGATTTTTTTAATAACATCTTTTTAACTTGAACAGTAGAATCAGCACAGAAATAATCATAAAATTTCAGACCTCTATAACGTAATCGTACCAGACCAAAATTATCAGGCTGTTCAAGCTGTATAGGAATTTCATTTTCAACTTTACATCCTACTTCAACTGCCGTTACGAGAATTCCTAGACTATTATTTTCCGATTTGGACAAATAAAGCTCAGCTACTGTAATACTAGCCGGTACTGAGGAAGAACACTGAGTTTGAACTGTGAACAAACATTTTTCAATTTAATTATTATTTACACATATTCTATCAAAATGATATAAAAATATAGGTTATCTTAACGTGATTAAAATGGAAAGGGATAAATATTTTATTTATCCTTATAATAAACTCTTTGAGATGTTAATTTTGATTGCGAAGTTTACCTGTTTTATAGAACTTGTAATTGAAGGACATGGTTATTTTTTATTCAAAAAAGTATTAACATGAATAAAAAAACTTAATTTAAAAATCTTCACAACTTATTCTTTTTCACTTGCTTTCATGAATATTACGCCGTAAAATTTAGCTCATAAATGTCGACGATGCATCTACTACAATGACACTTTTTCATCTGACAACTATTGCGCATTATTTCGTGAGCTAACCTCTGTCATATCGACAGATGATATTTATATTGTGGACCCACAACTTCTGATTGGTTTGTGTGTAAGAGAGGGGGGATAGGACCTCCTCCAACAATTCTTTTTCATTTACAAATCTCAACCCTACAAAAAATATAGAATTTATGAAGCTAATTAATCGGAAAAAGTATAAAAAACAAATTATAACAATTCTAAAAAATATCCCTTTTATTAAATTCTTTATGAAACGTGTTTCACCATATCCAGGATGCATAATTAATTGTCTACAAGAATGAAAAGGTATACAATCAACAATAGAAAATAAACTTCCAACAAATCATAATGAGAATTAAATTCCTTCAATTATTAACCTATAAAACAATGTTATTTTTAATAAAATTATTTTAATAATAACATGACTAATTCTGTAAACATTTATTTGCAGTTTAAATAAAAAATTATCTAACCTAGACCAAATAACATCACAGTTGGAAACCACCATTACTCTATGTAATTGTATAAGATTTATAAAAAAACAAAATAATGATTTGAAATGGATTCGACCTTTATGAAGCTTCTTGTAAGAGGGATGCTGATTTAATGAAAAAAGCCTATTTTGATCAAGGTAATGTAAATCTATATTATTATATATTTTTATAGTATATGTATGATCAAGTATGTAATTGCCTATTTTGTAGTATCAATTATTTAAAACGGCTATTTTATGGTATAACTGGTGGATCATATGCGAGCAATTCACGATACAATTTTTTAAATTGTTTCAATTGCTTTTTCTTCATATTTGCATTCATATAATCCCCAAAGTTAGCGGTATAAGCTCTGAAAGCAATGAACCCTCCATAATCCTTTGCACCTCTAACGAACATTCCAGCACCAGCTAATGCTAGAGTTCGGTTAACTGTTACAGGTTGTGCATCGAAAAGAGGAATGGTGGTTTGCCCAGCATCATCATAAATATTTGAAGGACCAAACATAATAAACTCATTTATTTTCGAAAATACAATATTTTTTGGTGACTTCCTTGGATCTACTTTTTTTCCATAATTTACTTCAGTTCTGGAAATATTCAATTAATACCATTAAAGGTTGAACAACTGACGTTCAAATCAACATATCTAGTATCAAGACACAAACAGGTAAGCACATGTTCCATCATCTTACCTTTTTTCTGCATATCGCTTGGGAGGAGTTGGCTGATTCTTTGGTGTTATCCAAATAGATGGTTTTTTACCAATTTTACCTTCGTTGAAGTCATCAACAGGTGTTGCATGTAATTCTATTTGTATTGGACTTGAGTTATCATTTGGATTAACATTATTTAATCGAATCCCAGTTAAAACATGATTAGGTGGTAATAATATATCATCTAAATTGAAAGTCCTTCGTTTGTCAGTTATAAATGCAAAGTCCACGTTTTCTCTGAGTTCTTTTTTATCTTTATTACGATAAAATTTGCCCATATTATAGGTATACTCCTCTAACGGGATCCATCTAGATTCATTGATATTAACACGAAGTTGAGGTAAAAGATCTGATTCTTCAACTTCAATTTGTATCATTTTATTTTTTTCAGTAAATCTAAAGTTTGTTATCACCCTAGAAACATATTTTAATTAATCATTAAGTATAATTTATGATCAACTTTTATGTGTGCCATTTGAAAAAAATAAGAAAGGATCAAAATGGTGTTTAATGTTACATGATAATGGTGAGCTTAGATCATGGAAGGTTTATTAACAATCATGATTAGTGTAAATTGTTTGAAGAACTTACTTATTGCCTGAGACATCAGAATACTGAGGCATGAAGGATACAGCTCGTGTGGCCTTCGATTCTGGCAATGTTTCTACACATCTACAGAGACAAGTATCGCACCTATAGAAACCAGAGGTTAAAGCGCCTAATTCAGTTTTATTGAGTCCGTTTCCACTACAACCCCCTTCTTTCGAACCATATGTGGAACCACCTCCTTGACTTGATATATATTTGTAGCGTCTCAGTGAGCTTTCTGGCTGTAAATATATTTAATTTATACTTGTGAATTGTTGATTACTGCAATGTGATAATTTTTTGCATAAAATTATCATTAAATCATTCCCTTGTAGCCAATTCTGACATAAGAATTTTTGTCAGAGTTACGTACATCTGTTTACTTTCTGCATCAAATTGCCATTGACCGTCAGACATGAAATCTTGCGTCTTTCTGCTTGAAAAAAATGGCAGATACATACTTTGATAACAAACTTAGGTCGACATACATAAGTCTGCCGTCAGTCTCACGTTGATTTGGTTACTAAGATAATTAGAATTATGAATACACACTTACATATTCACAAACGTCAACACTGTAACCTATTGTACCGCAAAAATAAGCTCTTCCTAGACATGTTTTTCGTTGACAATAAGTAGCCTTATTCTTTAGGTAAGGATCAGAACTCTTGTCCCATGTAAAGCATCGATAAGTTTTCATTGTATTTATATCACTGCAAGTATAACGACATGTATCATCAGAAAATCCTTGTGGTTCACTCATCAAGTAGCCCGTCATTAAGCCTTCTAATTCAACGAATGTTTCACCTAACAATGGATTAATGAATTAGAGTTATCGACATTAGTCGTTCAGTATAATTTTATTGTAATACCTCGAATCCATTCTGGAGGATCGCATGGAAATACTATCCGTGAAACTGCTGTCATCTTATTTTTGATAGTTAATATGTATTCTTCCATTCTCATTACAAATTTTGCGGTAGCTTTTTTTACTTCTTTAACGTATGGCTCTATGGATAAACAAATGTAATTAATGCCTGCGTCATTCATGAAATATGTTACTGAATTTACCATTTGTTGAAGTAGCAAGGTAATCATAAGCAAACATCGTCATCATGAAAGCTCTGATTTCAGTTAGAGAAACGATGTTGAAAATTTCGTATAAACGTTCTTGAAATGAGAAGCTTGGATTACACATATCATCTGGTTTCTAAATATACAAAAAAAAACGACAGTGCGATTATTAGATAGGAATTTTTGAAGGCAAAGCTGACTTACCGCTTTTGCTTTAACCATGAGATTTAGGATATTTTCTCGTATTGAAGATGATCGTCCAGGTACAAAAAGAGCATGCATTTGATTCACAGCATCTGGTATGTCATTAGCATCTCTGGATGTTACAGATTTAAGAAAGGAATTCAATGTGTGAGAGTTGAATCCTCCTTCACTCGAAAAATCTTTGAAGTCATCATAAAGCAAATCAACACGAGTGATAACATTGTGGAAGTCTCGCATGGCTGCTGAAAGTTCTTGGGCCAGGGGAATCTGTGTCACTAATTCTTCTACTATGTTATCCATTTTTTCACTAAGTTCCACGGCCAAGTTAGATACTTGCTCCGATAAAGAATCAAGTTTCTCTAAAGCCAGTGTTGCTGGATTCACCACATCTGTAACAAGACTTTTAAATGGAATGTTTCCAGCCCAAACATTCTGGATGTCATTGGCCAGCGCGATCATTTCTTGAATATCCGAAACTACTGGAAGTGAAAATGAATGCACATCCACCCCATTGTTTAATATTAGTAACGAAAAAACTAAAAACTGCAACATTTTTTTTTACAGAGCTTGCAACAACAAAAAAATGTTGTAAATAACATTCTATTACTGAGTATTCCTATTTATCCATGTAATTTTAATTGCACTCCTGTTCAATTTTGTCAGTAGATAATTGAATAATGTAAATGCTATCGAAACAATTCATCATTCTTCGGTGAAATATATGGTTATGGAGTAAAGTGATAATAACAAAACTTGATAAAAACTTTACGATAATTGAAAAAAGGTTGAAGTGCATTTACAAAGTTATAATTTACACGCAGAGCATTTTTTTTACTAATTATAAGTGGAAAACTGATAAGTGTTGGTCTTGAAACGTAGAAGTAGAAATATTTTTATTTAATAGTGAAGGCTGTATTTTAATATCTTTATAATATTAAAAAAATTAAAATTGAAAGAGGCCCAAGCGTTAACTTGACTACAAAGCTACCAACGATCGCCGAAACGTTCATTTCCTAAAACCGATCATTTATGATCCTCATACAGCCTCCTCCTTTTGGGCTGTACAAAAATGTGCACCAAGCATAAATCATGATAACGGTGGAATTATAATGTATACTTTTTGTAGACGAAAAGTCCTAAAATTATTGAACGCCAAGTATTAAAATCTAAGAATCAACAATATTTGAAATATAAATTATTTTCTTCGATTCTTTTTTTTGAAAAAAATTTGAATAGAACGTTTCATGATATAATCAACATAATAGCTAAAAACTTGACGCGACTGTTAAGATTTTATATGTAGAAGAATGGAATTTCGATTGTATCGAAAACATTTAATATTGTCCAAGTTTCGTGGCTGAGAAATACCCAGTCTGCCATTCGCGACTGAAAAATCTAGTCCACCTTTTGGGAGATAATTAAACCGATAAACAAGCTGTTTTCGAGTCTTTCCAGTCAAAAAACTCACACCATGGAAAATACAGTTCATGATTGATGGCTAAGGAATACCCAGTCTGCCATTCACGACTGAAAAATATAGTCCACCTTTTGCGACTATGGTTTGACCAGACCAATAATTATCTTTGAGTCTTTCTGGCCAAAAAACTGCCACTATGAGAAATACAGTTCATGATTGGTGGCTAAGAAAAATACAATCTGCCATCTGCGACTGAAAAATATGTTGTCAATTTTATGCGACCATGAAATGCACAGTCTGCCAACGTCAAGATATGGAATGCATTCAATAGGATGATTTTTATAATTGTGCAATATTTATAATTTATTATGTTAAAAAAACATTGGGAGAAATCGATGCTCGATTTTTAAAAATAGGGACATATTATGAAATAGACATAATAGAGAAATGGTGCAGATGCAGTGGGTCTTCTGTAAGAACAGGAGTAACTAGAAGGGGTGAAGGAGGCCACATAAAGTATTAACACTAATATTTATATTAATAGCACATTTTATTCATGAAGGTAAGTTTACCATTAGCAAGTTAGCTCTTCTGACGCTATGATAAGTGTTATCAATGGTTGATTACATGAATTTCCATTGGAAAGCTAGGTATCTTGAGTTTGTTTTAATCAATAAATGAAAACGGAGAAAATTAATAATACAATAAAAAGTAAAGCAGTGTTCTTAATAAAAACAGCCTATACTTATGTGTGATGATTATAATTTATAATTAATCGATTTGAGGTATTCAAGTAGTACTAAACAATTACTAGTTTAATCAACTATTTTCAATTTCTATCAATCATGACGGATTGTTTGAAACTATTTTTAACCAACGGTTAGTGCATGATGGGATGTTGTGCAAATTTTTTTTCTCCTTTCACAATTGATTCACTGAACAAATCAAAATTTTTAGCACACCTGTAAATACCATGAAAATTTTGACTTTTGTAAATATCTTTTTTGATACAATAATGATACCATCATTCATATCACTTAGAGGCATAAATGTTTATCGTTTCAATTCTGGATTTTTATCATATGGATTGAATGAAATTTCAAAAATGATATGTGAATTAAATTTATTCATAAAACTTAAAATGTTTGTCAATTATATAGCTATCATGCAACAGACATGTGTGCGTACATTTTTCTACATTCGTTACAACATTATGATGTTAGCCCCCGTATAGCGGCAATGTCATATTAAATATATCTATATCTATACCTATTCTGCGAATATAAATTCGTTGGAATTTTAAATAACTTGTCAACTGCAGATGCTCGCATAGAGGACTCATGTGGCGGCATATACATGAGTATTATAGGACAGAAAAAAGAGTGGAGAGGATCGGTGAAAAAGGTTTTTTTTTGAATAGCAAATTCAAATAGTTGTTATCGAGATATGTATCTCGTAACAGGTGTCATTGATGGTAGTTTCTAATTTTTTATCCATTTTAATCATATATTTTGTTAATAAAAAAATTAAATAAAACATGTCTATTTGACATTGGCAATAACACTAATATTTATACTATTCACATTTAAAGAATGTCTTGTTTTCATTAAATACGTCGTAGTTGGAATTATTTTTCTTCATTCTCTGAAATCGTTTCTATAAGAAAGTAATAAAATCAACAAAACGTGTATCGATTGCTATTCTCCATCAATAAAAATAATCATGTTTATTTTTTCTTTAATTTTGAAGAGTATTTTTGAGGAGAGGAATAAAATTTTACTGATTAAAATTTCTTTTGTTTTATTCCACTGCGTTTTAGCAATAGAATATGTACTTAACATCTAAATCAATCTACAGCCAATTACACATCAATAGAATTTGTCATGCATTAAAATCCTCATGCTATTAACAGAATGGGCTATCTCTGAACATAAAAATGCATAAGATAAATGTCACTATTGTATCATTACCACAATATTCTGAAAATAATGGATTAAGATATTTTTGAATAAATAATCATATTACATGATGATGTAAAAAGTAAATTTTATTATATTTAATATAATTTATGATGACTATAAATTAATAACACAATAATTAATCATATTATCGTTGGGAATAATCGAAAATGTATTTTGTTATTATTTAGCTTATTAAAGATTATAAATAAAATCTATCCGATAATATAATCAAACTGCAAACAATATTTATAGTTTACGGTAAATAAATATATATTTCATAAATGTTGTGTATTAAAAGCATCAGGTAATAATGAACCAAAAGTCTGGTGTTAAAGCATTAATCTGTAAAGCATAAACAATTAATTGTTGAATTATTGTTGTATTATTGAAAACTTCATAATAGTATGATATTATTAATTTTTAAAAAGGCTGTTCCAATATATCTAAAATAATTAATAAATTATTCTTTGATTTAACAATAGAAAAAAATTAAATCAAAACAATCGGGTTATTAATAAATTAAGAAAATAATTAAGAAGCCAATCATAATTTTTATTTAATAAAAAAATTATAATTTTCAATAATACAAAGATTGAATAAAAATTTTAGTTTTCACTTTATAAAATAAGTATTAGAAAATTACTTTGGTATTTAAGTGGAAATAATAATTTGTTATTCTAATTGTTTATTCAATATTACTTTGTGTAACAACGATTGAATACGTTTTTATAATTTGGTTGTTTGAACTCAAGTGTCACTTAAAGGACATTTTCGAATGTTGTTATCAGGTAGTCCTTTTTTATTACATTCTTATTAAATTCAACGTTTAAATTTAATTTGAAAATTTTTAATTAAATAATTAATTTTGATTGGTTATAATAAAATCATTATTTTGTTTTAAAAATTTTTTTTTCATCTGAAGTATTGTTGAACGCAGTATTGATCGATAAAATTGACATGATGTGACAATAGATTGCTAGTAATTTAAAAATATTTTATTTTAATTTTATTTTGCTTTATAAAAATCTCAATTAGAGACAACTTTTTTTTTACCTTCCAGACATATTCTTTTTTCGTCAAAAATTAGAGTTACGAAATCAATTAATGGGTATGCGTATAATTAAATATAAGGTTTGAGATTAATCTCTGATCATTTAACCTAAATTAAAAATCAATAGTCAATAATATTTCGGTCAAAATTATATTCTTGAGAGATTAATGATGTCTGAGGTGTATTATTAAGCCTAAGACGATGAGAAATTCTCTATTGGACACGATGGACTGCGGTTATAATCATTGATCATACATCTTTCTCTACCGTCTGATCACTTAAACCATTGCAAGACATCACGACCTACAAGAGAATGCGAAAACCCTGCACCTTTCTCCCTATCACATAAACGTTTACCACTCGTATTATATCGGTTCTACATGCTACGTGAATGCTCGTTTAGCTCTTCTACAATGCAGAACTCTAGAATGGAGCTCAATAAAATACTATTCCAATTGAATATTTTTTTCGCGCTGATGAATAATTATTAAGATTGTAATCAGTCCGTTGGAAATTTAATAATGATGAATTTTTATGTGATCAATTGGTTGAAAAATTTTTATTAATTAGTTTTATTGATAAAAAAAAATTTTTTCTGTTCTATTCTGTGATAAAAACTAATACAATTATTGTGAATAGACAATTAGAATACTACTGCTTCAGTCAATCGATAAAAGTTACAAAAAAAGACAATGTATTGTTGTATTTCATTGAAGAATGTTGGTGAAAGATAGAGATAAATTTCTACATTAAAAATGTTAATTAAAAGTGATTGAAAGTTGATACTTTATAGATTACTACAATTTATGCGAATAAAAAGTGGTAAAGAGAATTAATTATACTATTTACAAAATTAGATAATTTATAGAATAAATGAAAAGGTTTAGTTATATTTTCACGTTTTGAGACATATGAAAGCATATTAAAAGGTTAAACATAGATATACGTACGTATAATTGTACGTACGTAAATCAAGGTTTTTTTTCAATATCTTGAGAACTAATGAAGATATTGACTCCGGACAAATTTTATTTTAAAGATAATACAATGGAGAAGATCTGAGAGGAGTTTGAACAAATTCAGTCTCGCTGTTTATTTTTAATAACAAAAAGAATGTAAAATAATTAAAATAAAAAG